GTGGAAGCGAGTTACCAAGCACTAACACATCCACAGTCAAGGAGAAGGGCAGGCTCTGCCTTATGAAAGAAGGAGTATCAAACTGTGAGTATCACTGACCAAATGGAGGTAAGCAGTGGAAGAGCCTCAGGATACCCCTTGACAGTGGCTTCTTGGAATGTCATTAAATTGTTGATTTTCTAGGGAAGGGAACATTTTGTTACTATTTCTAAGACCAAGTCTGTTATTAAAACTTAGACTGTTATTTGAGATAAACACTTAGATACCATTGTTTTCTTCATTTTACTTAAGAAGGCTTAAAACTAGTATTTTTGAAGGAAAACATCTAAAACAACTCAAAAGTATGTGAATAATACTTATTTGTTTGCTAAGGTTTTGTTTTGTAGACTTGTTTGAAATAAAGTGATAATCAATCAAGACTTAGAAGTGGAATTTTTATTTTAGATGCTGGTGATTAGGAAGAAGGCTAATGTGAACTGTTCAAAAGTATGAATTATGGAATGTCTTTAGAACATTCAACTTCTAGGTAACTTAATTTTGTTGTAATTTCATACTTAGAGAAAAGTTATAAGAATAGTATAAGGAACTTTTATATGCCCTTTATCTTGATTCATTGTTTGTTTTGTGCCAGATGCCTTATTCTTTGTCTTATCCTGGCCCAGTCAACCTAACACCGCCAGAAATAAACCTGTAGTCTTATAACCGTAAGTTTATGGACTCATTGCAGTGAGAGAGACTGCATAACAGAGGAACCACTGGACTTCTCACCAAAGGATTCAGCAGAGTTTTTATAGGATTGTAAGCCTAAAGAGTAGAGTAGCATTTAGATGAAATTTAAATGAAGCAGTGTTTTAATAGGCTCAAAGCTAAGCCAGGACTGTGTGTAAAGGAGTTAACATCAGATCTGTCCTACAAAGTGGACCCAGAGTCTTGTTTCCTTGGAATCTACAAAATTGAGAGACATGAGGAATGTTGTGTTCAGAAAGCCCTTATCTGAATCTACATCTGTTAGAAGCCTAGATTTCGTCTCTGTATCAAAGTTGCTTAGATCCTCCCAGCAAAAATAGGACATTTCAGGTTTCCTCATGTCTCTTTCTAGTCATTTCTCCAGACAAGCATTGTTCTGATATTTTTCATGATAGGATAGTTTTGCCTGTCCTTGAACTTTGTATGAAGGCAATCATATGTATTTGAGTAGTATGTAGTTTCTTTTGCTCAGCATAATGTCTGTGTTAGATTTGTCTGTTTTATTGCCATCTTCTATCAGTTCCTTTTCAGTGCTGAGTAGTATTGCATTGTATCAACAGACATATTAGAATTTGTTTATTTTCTGTTAATGGACTTGTGGGCTTCTAGTTTGGGGGCATCATGAGAAAGGCTGCTATGAAAATTCTTGTGTTTAATTTTCTGTGGACATGCTTTTATTTCTCTTGGATAAATTTCAGGTATGAAATCCTTGCATCAAAGGCTAGGTGCATCGTTATATGGTTAACTTTTAAGAAACTGCCAAAACTTTTCAGAATGAATCTTCCATTTTATAGTCCCTCATAAACTACAGTCAGCAGTTTGTGAGGGTTCCCTATATGCTTCATTTCTTTTCCAGTGTTTGGTGTTGATAGTCTTTTTAATCTTAGCCATTCTTGTGGTTATGAAGTGGTCTTTCATTGTGGTTTTAATTTGCATTATCCTAATTACCAATAAAGTTGAATATCTTTTCATTTGTTCATTGGCCATTTCTATATCTTCCTTTGTAAAGTATCTGTTCATGTCTTTTGCTTATTTCTTTTATTGGATTGTCTTTATATTTTAGAATTGTTGAAGTTCTTTATGTATGTATTGTAGCTACAAGTCATTGTCACATACATCTTTTAAAATATTTCCTCCCAGTCTGTAACATGCATAGTTACTTTCTTAGTAGTGTCTTTTGATGAATGGAAACTTTTAATTTTGAAAGTTAATTTATTAATTTTTTCCTTAGTTAAATGCTTTCTGTGACCTGAGAAATGTCTGCCTATCTCCAAGTAATGAAGATATTCTGAATTTTAAAGCTTCTGTGATTTTAGCTTTTACATTTAGGTCTGTGACCCATCTGAGATTAATTTTGTTTATGAGCCAAGGTTCACTTATTTTCCATAGTATATATAGTTTTTCCAGTGTCATTTGTTTAAAAGATTTTATTTTCCTCCATTGAATTGCTTTGATGTTTCTGTTGAAAATCAAATGACCGAAAAAGTTTGGATCTATTTCTATTAATAGGATTCATTGGTCTATGTGGAATAGTGTGCATGTGCATTAATGGACTTCAAAAAACTATATAAGGTGCTTATTAGATATTGACATACATAGGAGCCACCTTTCCCATTCATGTATTGACAGCATCGTAGATCTTCTTTGTGATTACCTTGTAGCCAATGATATTTGGAGGCTTTTTAGCATTGTCCTCTATGTATGCCAGTGCTACTTTTTGTGTCATGTGAGACTGAAGTTTACATTTTTATTCTTTGATATTCATCTGTAAAGAGAAGGCACTCGTTTGGTACAGAGTTCTAAGGCTAGCAACTAGCAAGAAACTTCAGAAACCTTTTTTTAAGTAAAATGGTTGTTTATACATATATTACACAGATCTAGATGCAGATCCTTAGCAACTATCCACCAAGAGAGATGCCTTGGGTCCTTGCAGTGGGAAAGGGAAGAGGAGGAGAATATGTAACCACATAGAAATTGGGATTTCTTTATAAAGAAAACTTATTCTGGAACCATTGCCCAGTCATATCAATATCTCTATTATGAGTATCAATCACATTCAGCAAATTTATTTGCACTTTGCTGAATGATAATGGGGATTTTAGCCTAAGGGAATTTACCAAAGTTACCTGTGTTGTAACTCTCCATCTTTTGAATTACAATGAATCTAAAAGTAAGCACTAGATATCTGTGATTCACCTCCAGAGAGGAGAGGACAAGGAATTATGAGCTGGAGGGATGGAATCTCAAATCTGTGTTGTTGAATACTAAAACCGTCATTTATAATTAAAATTATGTTTATTCTAGATGAAGTACTGTTTATCGTGTAGTGTTTATGGAATTTTCTGAAATAAATTCTTATGTTTGAATGAATTTGTGATATGCTAAATTCATCATCATAGGTTGAATTATGGAGAAGTCCTTTAAAAAAAGGCACTTTATCTTCCTATTTATTGTATTTTATCAATTTTAAGGTGAACCCCCCTCCCTGACACCCACCCTCCTTTTAACATGTTTAAAATCAGGTTGTATAGGTTGTGATCCTCAATCAATTTGACCAGTTGGGGCAGTTCTATAGTCATTGTATAAACATGTATAAACATCAAAGGTGCCATCATATACCTTCAGAGAATTACCACAGCCTCTTAAAAATAAAAAAAAAAAAGAAAGAAAAAATCCAGAAGACAATAAGGGAGTACTCCTTTAACACCACGTCAGCTAGACCTACTTAATTACAGAGCCTACTTAAAACTGGCTCCCTAGTTGTTTTACGGAGTATTTTAAGAATACCAATCTTGATGGCGTAGAAGATGATTTTGTAAGGAAAAGCCAGAAAATACCGAAGGTTTGGAGTCAAAGTGATTCAAAAGATTTGGACTGTGACTTTTTAGGAAAGCACAAAAATGTTATATGAGAAAATCTATATTTAAATCCAAAAGTTCTTACAGTCGCTGTGTAATACAAATTCTAAATTATAAGAAAGCATTATATTGGTTTAATTGAGTTAGTCTGCATATAGTTATCTGTGCCCTACATTTTGTGGTGTCTTAGGTTGGATGAAATTTGATAGTAACTTTATTTGTGGTTTTTGTCCTTCCTTTGATATTTAATATTCTATAATATTTTTTGTGCTCTTTCATTATTTTCATGTGAAGGGGCTTACTATATACCCTGTAATCCTCTATTCCCACTTACTAGCTCTGTGACCTTGGACAGGTGTTTAATTTTTTTTAACATCAGTTTTTGTAACTATAAAATGAGATTACATTTACCTAGTGGCATTATTATGTTTATTCTTTACCACTTAAATTCCAAGAGATTGCACATACATTGTTATACATGAATCTCATAACAATGTTTCAAGTAGGATATTCATATACCCTTGGTAAAGCAAAACTTTGGTGTTATTAAGATGTCAGTTTTCCTCTCTTTGATCTTTTAGAAAAAAGTTATATTTCAGTAATAATTGTACATAGTTTAATTTACTTAAGTAGCAGGGAGTGAGAAGATGGGAACAAATCAATGTCTTTCAGCGTGTAAATGGTTGAGCACTATTGTGCTAGAAGATGTAATGAGGCAGTCAGGTGCTTGCAGCCCTATATAGAATCCCTGCAAATGCAACAGCCACACATACAGTATAGACTAATAAGGATTATTTTATAGGCTACTCAGATACAAATGGCATTGTTATTGATGATGTGATTTTTATTTTTCCTAAATGATGAACAATTCTTGGTAATGTTTTGAACAAAAATTAAAATTAAATTTTCTTGATTTATATAGGAGTTGTAGTTCTGGAAATACTTATTTTGTCCTAAAATAGCAAGAATTAAATAAGGCTTGATGTTTATGTGTAAAATGGACTTAGTTCTATGTTAATGTAACTATAAGTAGGTTTTTTATGTACTTAAATGTCCAACTGGAAATTCGAAAATCTAGACCATTCTTTGGTATATAGAACTGTTCCCTGCTTTGTAGGATGTCCTGTAATCCTAGACCCTTTCCATTAAATACCAGTAGTCACCTTAATTGTTTTGATAGCCAATAAACATTCCCTCTAATTTTAAAAATGTCCTCAGACTCTACTACACTTGTTGGTCTGAGATATGTTAAAGGTGAGGAAATTAAGTACTAGAATATAAGAAATGATTACATGACTTATTTGTCATCGTGCTTTGACTAAATTTAATAAAAACAGATAATTTGAGACTTTTAAAATTGAGATGGCTGTATTGATATGTTCTTATTTTTCCTAGTAAAATGAATGAAGATAAACCTGGTGACTCACAGAACCTTGGTAAGTAACTGTATTTAAAATATTTTTATTACAACAAATCTTTTTAGAATGCTACTGAAACAATAGGAATGAATTCCTTGGTGCATGCTTAGTTCATACGTCCACGTACTAAAGTATAATATTGTGTGTATTCATTTCAACAAAAGTCTATCAGAGGACAACTTATTTGCCAAATTTTATTTGTATTCTGTGTATATACTTATCAGATGTGGTTTGTATCTGAATAAAACAGTATTATTTATTTAATAAATCCAAATTTTGCCACCTTTTTTGTATGACTTTTTCTTGTGAAAGGGAAAATGCAGGTGAGAACAATTTAAACAATACACAAAAGTTTAACATGAAAAGGAAAATTCACCTCTAAGGGCTCACAACAATCTCCCCAAATAGATGCAGTCTCTTTTGACCTTTGCTTTTAGTTGTTTTCTTCACTTATTGTCAGTATCTATTGACTTGCTACGGTGAAGGATGAGGAATTTATTTTTGTACTCTTCTGTGACTACTTCTCCCTCATCCACTGTTTTTAGATCTTTTTCAGTTCCTTTTAAAACTATTATACTATACTTAAAACTCTATAGTTTGACCATCATTTTTAGAGATTATCTGTTGATGCCACTTTATGTTGGATAAGGGAATTTGAACTCCTCTCTCTGCTTTTTTTCCTTTCTTCTACCTCCAGATTTCTATCAGCTATCCGAGTAGTCCTAAAACTTTAGTAATTCATGACTACCTTTATGCATTTGCTAAATACAAATACACCCCTACTGTTGACATTTTTCCTAAGATTGACTCTTGTATTTTTACTTACATGAATATGTTTAAGGAGGAAACTTTATTTCATTATTATAATAGAAACCAGTATCATATTTGCTATAGTGGAAAGTGATCTAAATAATAAATATAAGAAAATCAGAACAATTTTACTAAATTTCAAACATTAAAATTAAAAAGCAGCAGAGTACAAATAAATACAAAAGTAATCTACTTATAAAAATGCATGCCTGAAACCTAGTCTATTCTGTGTCCAGGGGTCCTCCCTTCTGGGTAAAGGAAGGCAAGGGAAGAGGGGAACAAAGGGAAAACCGCACACAGGTCCACAACATACAGCAGATGCACATCCACCCAGGGTTCATCATGAGGGTTCTTCCTCGTCTATAGTCTCAGCTAATTCACAAGGTCTCCTCTTTTGTGATCTCAGCTAATTCCATGTATTCCTCTTTCTCTTGATTGCTGTGTGCACACCTGTGGCTGAAAGTGTAGGCACTGAGGATGAAGGAGTTAAGGTGGGAGCTGCTGGCGTAAGATGTACAATGTGAACAAATGGCAATTTGCTGGAGTTAATGTGGACAGCTTCTTTGTATGGGGAAGGAAGTGGAGCTGAAATCTTTTGAAGGGTTAGGGGAAGGTCTGATTTATGACTTATCTCATTAAATTGGAGTGTAGGGGGGCCAATATAGCTAGGACATTTCACAATATTGAATATTAGCTCATGCTGTTTCTTTTCAGTTCTGGAATCTGTTTTGTGATCAGCCTGTTAACAAGTATGGTACTTTTTCAACACATAACATTAATTCTTGATTAAATAATTAAAGTAAATAATACTTGCTGCGATAATAGGTAAACCCTGAAGTTTTAATGGTTTCACACAATAAAGGCTTGGTCAGGTTACTGTCCATTGTAGATAGGTTAGGAAAGATGGAGCAAAGAGGAAGTGTCTGCTTCACGCAGTCATTTAGAGAGTGGGGCTCCCTCCATCTTATATGGATCTGTTGCCTTGAGATCCTCAGTCTTATCTCCTCACCTAGTGATTTTCTACTTATTTCATTAGCATATTAATAAAAATTTTCTGTACAAATAGAAGACAAAAGAGACTAGTAGTTACAATATTACCATTTATTCAGTTCTGTCTGTATGTCACATCCTGTTAATTATTTAAATATTAAATAAATACTTTTGTGTTTAGTCATCATTAAGGCATAGTTTGAGGTAGGTACTGTTGTTGTCCTTATTGTTATGAGGAGAAAACGGAGTCATAAATAAGCCAGGCACAGAAGATGGTACTGCATGGTCTCACATGTGGAATCCAAAAAAGTCAAACTCATAGAAGCGCACTGAATTGCATGGCAGTTACCAAGGCTGGGGAGGTATGAGGTGGGCACCGGAGATTGGGAAAATGTTGGTCATAAGATACAAAATTTTAGTTTAGAAAGGAGGAATAATCTAGATCTATTGTATAACAGGGTGGCTATAGTTAATAATGATATATTTTATACTTGAAAATTGCTAAGAGAGTAGATTTTAAGTGTTCTCACCACAAATAAATGATAAGTATGTGAAGTAATGCATATGATAATGAGCTCCATTTAGCCATTCCACAATGTATACATATTTCCAAACGTCATGCTATACATCATAAATATATACAATTTTTTTTAAAGTGTGGAGCCAAGTCTTAACTCAGATCTCCCTGACTACACAAGTTGTATTTGTGTGTTTTGGGGGGCGCGGGGGTAAAATACACATGAAATTCACAATTTTAACTATTTTGAGGGGTACAATTTGGTGGCGTTTAGTACATATACGATATTATGAAACCATTACCACTATCTAGTTCCAGAACGTTTTTATCACCCTCCAAGGCAATTATTTAGCCCCTGTACCCATTTAGGCAGTCATTGCTCATTTTCCCTGTTCTCAGCCTCTGGCAAGGACTAATCTGTCTTTTGTCTGTCTTTGTGGATTTACCTATTCTGGATAATATAATTCTTTATGTAAATGGAATCATATGTGGCCTTTTGTGCTTGACTTCTTTCTCATAGCATAATGCTTCTAGGCTTATCCACGTTGTAGTGTGAATTAGTACTTTATTCATATTCCACTGTATAGATGTACCATATTTTATTTATCCTTTTATCCATCCATTGATGGACATTTGGTTTGTTTCTGCTTTAGCTATTGTGAACAGTGCTGCTGTGGATATTAGTGTACAGTATTTGTTTGAACATCTGTTTTCAGTTCTTTGGTATATATACCCAGGAATAGAATTGCTATGTTATATGGTAATTCTGTGTTTAACTTTTGAAGAACTGCTGGACTATTTTGCAAAGTGCTACACCATTCTATATTTTCACCAGCAATGCGTGAGAGCTTTGGTTTCTCCAGATCTTTGCCAACACTTGTTATTTTCTGACATTTTGGTTATAGCTAGCCTCGTCGGTGTGAAGTGGTATCTCATTGTGGTTTTGCTTTTCATTTCCCTGTTGACTAATGACTAAACGATATTAAGCATCTTTTAATGTGCTTACCTTCTTTGGAGAAATGTCTTTTCAGATCCTTTGCATGTTTTTATATTGGGTTGTTTGTAATTTTGTTGTTAAGTTGTATGGGTTTCTTACACATGCTGGCTACTAGACCCTTATCAGATATGTAGTTTCCAAATATTTTCTCCCCTACTATAGAGTGTCTTTTCACTCTCTTGATAGTGTCTTTTGGGGCACAAAAGTTTTAAATTTTGTTGAAGTCCAATTTATCTATTTTTGCTTTTGTTACTTGTGCTTTTGGTGTCACGTGAACTCTAAGAAACCATTGCCAATTCCACAATCATGCAGATTTGCCTCTGTCTTCTTCTAAGAATTTTATCAGCTTGGCTCCTAAATTTAGGTCCTTGATCTGTTGTGGGGTTTTTGTTGTTGTTGTTGTTGTTTGTTTTTTGTGTTTTTTGTTTTTTGTTCATTTTTTTTTTGAGACAGAATCTCATTCTGTTGGCTGGGCTAGAGTGCAGTGGCATCATCATAGCTAAATGCACCCTTTAGCCCCTAGGCTCAAGCAGTCCTCCTACCTCAGCCTCTCAAGTAGCTATAGGACTATAGGCATGCACCACCATGCCCAGCTAATTTGTACTTTTTGTAGAGACTGGTCTCACTATTGCCCAGGCTGGTCTCGAACTCCTGGGCTCAAGCGATCCTCCCAACTCAGCCTCCCAAAGCGCTAGGATTATAGGCGTGTGCCACCACACCCAGCTGTCTTGATCTGTTTTGAATTAGTTTTTGTGTATGATATGAGGTCCAAGTTCAACTATATTCTTTTACATGTGTTTATCCAGTTGTCCCAATACCGTTTGTTGAAGAGACTGTTCTTCCCCATTGAATGGTCTTGGCACCCTTATCAAAAATCAGTTGACCATAGGTATTTATTTATTTCTGGACTCTTTCTTCTTTTCCATTGAACTTTATGTGTATCCAAGTACCACACTGTTTTGATTACTGTAGCTTGTGTAAGGTTTTTTTTCTCAGTCTAGATAAAGGTTTGTCAACTTTGTTGATCTTTTCAAAGAATCAATTTTTGTTTTTATTGATTCCCTCTATTTTTGTTCTATTCTCTATTTTGATTATGTCTGCCGTAATCTCCCCCCTTCTTCTACTAACTTGGGGTTTAGTTTCCTTTTCTTTTTTCTGGTTCCTTAAGGTGTAAATTAGATTATCAATTTGGGATCTTTCTTTTTTAATATAGGCTTGCCTAAGCCTAAAGATCACCCAGAAGTGAAAGCTTAAGATTTCTCAAGTCTTTTCTGTGCGTGTATACATCCCTGTGCATGCACATGATCTTCTAGATTTTCCAGTATATGCGGGAGCTTTTCAAAACCCTTATTCCCCAGTGTATCCCCTTTTCCCAGTCTCTTCTTTCCTAGACATTTTGGTCTGTCAGCTGCTTGCCCTGTCTGTATCCCTTGCCCTAGGCTGCTGTAGCTAGTATATTTGTTTTAAATACTTTTTGACAAATAGTGGGGCTCCAGCCCTGAGAAAGTTCTGAGGAAGGTGAAAGAAAGGCAAGCATCTGAGCCCATCCCTCAGAGAACCACTACACACATAAAAACTCACCATCACATTTCTTTGAGATCAAGGTCCGTATTACCCCCAGTAATCCGCACCACGGACACGGACCACCCCAAGGCCACTGCCCAGCCGGGGAGTGGGGAATGATAGGTGGGTAAGTTAAAATGCTCTCATTAAAATTTAACAGCTTCTTTCTTCATTAAACATTCTCCTAATTTTGTAAATTTTTTAAAAATTAGATTCCAGTACTTTAAAAAATTTGATTCTGACAGTTTTTGGCAGTTTAATCATTGCTTTAGTGGAAGAATGGAGTTTTGTAGTTCCCTAGTCTGTCAGTTTCAGTGATGTTACCCCACAAGTTGCCATTTTAACTATACACTAGAATTTATCATTAAAGACTAATGAAAAATGTAAAATTACATTACTATTTCAGAAGTAGGTATTGGAAATTTTAAGTTACTGATAGCAGTGTAATGTGATTTGCTGTCAGAAGGAATTTTAACATAGAAATTGAGAAAAGCACCAGTTAATTCTATAGTTTTTTAATATTTAAATTTTTTATATCTATATTTACTTTTTTCACCATTAGCTTGTGTTTTCTGTCGAAAAAATGATGACTGTCCTAATAAATATGGAGAAAAGAAAACTAATGAGAAATGGAATCTCACTGTACATTACTATTGTTTGGTAAGTATAATTTATAATTAAATTCTAGAAATCTGGTGTTCTAAAGAAGAGAATTAGATCCTGACACTGATTTCTTGAGAATTGGATAAGTCATTTAACTTCTCTGGATCTCATTTTACCTATATGTAAAAATGGGATTTTTTTGTATACTAAATTCTAAAATTCTGAAATTACTTTGTACATGTAAAGACCTGTCATCATTACCTATTTGTTTTTGTTTGTTTAAGGCCTACATTAAAAAAGGAGAAAATAGAAGCAGGTGTTTCTTTTACCACTTTCCTGTTTCCTTTGTTGCTAGTGATAAATCTCAGAAAAGACTTGTTTGAAGGTCCAGGGAGTAAGAGAAAACAATTTTATTTTATTTGACAGAAAACCTGGAAAGAAAAGTTTTGGCTAAAGGTAATAAATATTTGTGGAAAAGGATATAGGATCTTTCAGAAGAAAGCAAAAGAGCGATTTCATACTGACAATTGTCCCTCCTTTGTTCCCACTTCCCTCCACTAGCTTCTCACCTAACTGAATCTGTGACTTAAGATATGAGTGGTTCATTATTACCTTAGCATACCAAAGTTGTATTAGTATACTCAGTGTTTCTTGACACTGTATTAGTTACCTATTGCTGCTTAACAAATTATTCTGAAATTTAGCAGATAAGACATTTATTTTCTCACATAATTTTTGAGGGTCAGGAATCTGGTATTGATTGAGCTGGATAGTTCTGGCTCAGAATCTCCTGAGGTTACAGTCGAGAGATGTCAGTCAGATTACATCTGAAGACTTTACTGGGCTGGAGGATCCACCTCCAGTGGCTCACTCATGTGGCTTTTGGCCTCAGTTCCTCCTAGCTGTTGGCAGAAGGCCTCAGCTTCTTATCCCTGGGCCTCTCACTAAGGCTGCCTCACTAGGGCCACATGGCTTCTGACTTCCCCCAAAGCAGGTGATCTCAGAGAGAGAGAGAGACAGAGAGAGATGCACCAAGATGGAACCATATAACCTAGTTATCACAGTCACACACGACTATCACTTTTGCTTTATTCTCTTAGAAGTGAGTCATTAAGTCTAACCCACACTCAAGGAGAGGGGAATTAAGCACCACCTTTTGAAGGAAGGAATAGCAACAAATTTGTGGACATATTTTTAAACCATCATCCATGTTAAAAAAAACCCTTTCAATGCTTGAGAAACCACCTAAAATATTCCTTGGTTCTCTAAGACTAGTTTTGTGTCTCAGGTACCCTGTGGATTAATCAGACTTGTAGACTGGCCTAGGACTCTAATCACGTTTATAACATGCCTTAAGAGGAAATGAAGTTGGCATTGTAAATATGTTTGTAAGTTGGAGTCTATTTTGCAGTACGGAAGAAAATCTTTTCATTTTTGTAACAGTTTATTTTACTTTTTGTTTGTTTTTGAAATAAGGTCTCACTCTGTCACCCGGGCTAGGGTGCAGTGGCGCCATCATAGCTCACTGCAACCTCCAGCTCCTGGGCTCAAGTGATCCTCCTGCCTTAGCCTCCTAAGTAGCTGGGACTGCAGGCATGCACCACCATGCCCAGCTAATTTTTCTATTTTTTTGTAGAGATGGAGTCTCACTCTTTCTCAGGCTAGTCTCAAACTCCTGGCCTCAGTCAATCCTCCCACCTTGGCCTCCCAGAGTGCTAGGATTACAGGTGTGAGCCATACACCTGGCCTATTTTACGTTTTATGCAATAGAATTAGGAGAGCTGTTTTATTATTAATAGTTAGCAGGTTGTTTTTTTCATAACTAATTCTTAAGTAATATGTATCATTTTTGTTTTTCTTTAGGATATATTATAAACTTTTAATCACAAATTTACTCTGAAGTATTTTTGTATTATTTAATACATTTAAGTTGATAAGTTAATACATATCAAAATTTTCCTTATATTCTGTCTTATTTCATTAAATGAATACAATACTTTAAAAAAGGACTCAACTCTTTTAATATTCTATTTTATTATGAATAGGAAAGGATAGTAATATTACAAATGGTAACAGAATACTAGTGCTGGAAGAGATTTAAATACAATCTAATGTTTTTACTTTCATGTTTAAAGTCAGAGATATTAAATTATTTTCCTGGGGTTCCAGAAGACTAGGCACAGAGCCTAATTTGCAAGTTAGGCCGGTAACCAGAATTTCTTATTCATATTCCATGCTTTTTCTGGATTCAGGCTTTCTTAACATGTTTATTAATAAGTATAAAGTTTAAATAAGACTTTTTAAAAGTCAAACATTTCTGTTAACTAGATTCAGTAGATTTCCCTGTAAATATGCCTTTTATGATTCAGAATTCAGCTAGATTTAAAGTTACCCTGAAATATCACAGATAATCTGAATTGTCTCCATCTGTATTTACTACTCCATTTATCTAAAACTTAATCGTAAGTGTTCTTTCTCTTTTTTCCTCCCTCCAATCCACCTACCCAGACACTCCCTTCTTTCCTTCCTACATTCTTTTCTTTTTCTTTCTTTTTCTGTTAATTCCTAGAATACTTTTAGAAACCAGTTTGGGTATACAAACTATTAATATACAGTGTCCTCCAAATCAAACAATGTGTACTCACATTGTTTGACTGTGAAAAATAACTATTATAGATAGGCACTTGAAATTTGAGTCATTTTATGTCTTTTTTTATTGGAATGAATATTATAGGTATATATTTTTAATTCCAAACTAGTTTCTTAGAGTCTGTTTTCTAACTGAGAATATATTCATAGTTAATGTCCAGTGGAATTTGGCAGAGAGGTAAAGAAGAAGAAGGAGTTTATGGTTTTCTGATTGAAGACATCAGGAAGGAAGTAAATAGAGCTTCTAAACTGGTAAGTAAATTATTTTACTCATAACACTAAATACCATAAGTGTTGTCAATACTTGAGAAGTCTTTTCAATCAGTTTCTATATTAGAAATTTATGATTTTAATTTTATGTTCCAATGCATATGTTTGTCAAATATGATAAGTTTTAGAAGAACATTTTACATTTTTGCAAATGAAAGAGAACTTCGCTAACCCTGGATATAATACATGTGAGAATATTGACTTCACTTCCTTATCTCATTCCAATCTATCCATCATTTCACCCACTTTTACCATCAGAATTATGACCACGGCTCCACACTGTGGTTCTGCAAACCTTCAGTCCTGAATCAACTCCACCATTTACTCCTTTATTCTTATGTCTCAATTGCTGAGGTTGGAATGATAGATTGAGGTAGAAATTACACAGCTATGCAGACTGGTAATTTATGATCTCCATAACTTTTGTGGCCCTTCTGTGACATTGTGTGCTTATATTCAGTATCCTCTCCTGTTCTTCAAGATAGGTATTCTAAACTTTATCTTCTTATTCATTCAGTCATCATTTGTGAATCTCCTATACGTTAGCTACTGTGCTGTGTTCAAGGAGGGTTTCCATATGGTCTGAGTAGAAATAATGAGAGAGAATCAAAAGATTGGAAGTATAGGGAGTTCTGTTCAGAGTGTATGGAATTGATGATTTCCATGATGAAGCAATTTGGATGATGAGGGATTCATCATTCCACTGGAGTAACAATAAGGAGCATTGATACATTATAGTTGAAAAATTCAAAGAAAGGTTCTCCCATAAATGCTGAGGTTATTTAGAATGATAGCAAGAATTAAAATACAGAGAAAGCCTATGATCTAGGTGCTAAGTCTTGAGGTAGTGGGGTGAGTGGGAAGTTAGTAGGTAACAGGAAGTGCAGATGTTATTAGGCTCAAAGGTCTGGATTTTTAAAAGATAGAATAGTGGCCTGCAATCTGTAACAGAGAACTAAAATAATCTTTTTGTTCCTCTTCCTGCCCCTGTTCATGACCCACCTTCACCCTGTGTCAAGGCTGAAGATTAAGGAGGATGGGAAAATAAGCAGCTTCTTTCAAGAAGGTCTACAAGGGAAGCATATAGAAACATTTATTTTAGTTGAGGCAAAGAAATGGAGGCAATTATTTTTTAAGATGTCAAAGAGTCAGGGGAGTTGATGGTAAAAAAGAGGCTCTAGGGCACAGGGAAAACCTTGGGAGAAAGGTTAGTATGAATCTAAGGACAATGTGAGGATATTAGTGTCAAAATTTCTGAACTGAACATCTTGATGATAGTGAGCTTGTAAAGGGTAGTCTCTAAAGGTCCCCTTAGGGTTTGGAACTAAAGATTGAGTATCCCTTATCTGAAATGGTTGGAGCCAGAAGTGTTTTGGATCTCAGATGTTTTTGGATTTAGGAATATTTGCATACCAGCTGAGTACCCCTGATCTGATTGAGTATCCCTAATCTGAAAATCCAAAATGCTTCTATGAACATTTCCTTTGAGTGTCATGTTGGCACTCAAAAAGTTTCAAATTTTGGAGCTTTTCAGATTAGGGATACTCACCTGTACCTGTTTTCTTAAAACATCTGAATCTTCTCTTGAGTACATTGTGAACCTTGAAGAGGAGTCCCATTTCTGAACTTAAACTAGAATTCCTTTTGTTAGTTCACTGGGAGAGTTGCAGGTTGGCCAGGTATTCTCCATTGACCTGGGTGGTTCTTAAAGGAGTCAGCAGTAACTCTGTAATTCCTGAATCAGTGACTACTATAATGGCCATCTTAAGGGTTCCAAGATGTTTTTGGTGCTGCTCTGTGTTTTACTAATGATTGATTCATTTAATAGTTTTTCTGTCTATGTACCACTGTTATATTTCACTGGTGCTGTATTCATTTCCTAGAGCTGCCATAACAAATTGACTGCTTAAAACAGAAATCTAAGGCCAGGCTTGGTGGCTCATGCCTGTAAAGAGGCCAAGGTGGGAGGGTCACTTGACAGCAGAGGTTAAGAAGTTCAAGACCAGCCTCAGCAAGAGCGAGACCCCATCTCTACTAAAAATAGAAAAATTAGCTGGGCACAGTGGCAAGTACCTGTACTCCCAGCTACTCAGGAGGCTGAGGCAGGGGGATCACTTGAGCCCAAGAGTTTAAGGTTACAGTGAGCTATGATGATGCTACTATGCTCTACCCAGGGCGACAGAGCAAGACTCTGTCTCAAAAAAAAAAAAAAAAAAATCCAGAAAGCTATTCTCTCATAGTTCTGGAGGCCAGAATTCTAAATCAAAGTTTCAAAAGGGCTGGTTCCTTCTGGAGCTTCTGAGTAAGAATCCATCCTATGCCTCTCTTCTAGCTTTGGGTGGCTACTGGCAACCTTTGACATTCCTTGGCTTGTGGCAGCATAACTCTAATCTCTGTTTCTATGTTCACAAGCCTTCCTCTCTGTATGTCTGTGTCTTAAATCTCCCTCTCTTTTCTCTTATGAAGACACCAGTCATTTGATCCTAAATCCAGGATGATCTCATCACAAGATCCTTAACTTAATTACATCTGCAAAAGATCCTGTTTCCAAATAAGTTCACATTCACAGGTACTGGGAGTTAAGACTTGAACATATCTTTTGGGGTACCACTATTCAATCCATTACGGGTTTTTTATTTGATTAGGATAGAGTGATTTTTGCCAATTTTTTACAAATTTGTTTATAGTATTGTGTTTCTGTTCTTGGTATTTCCTAATTTATATGCTTTCTCTTAGGATTTCAATGAGACTTTCATGTATAGCTGTCATGTATAGCTATTACGTTTATAAACCTTTCAGCTTAAAATATTTTAGCAGGTAGGAAGGAAAAGGAGCTTCTCTGTCTTATCCATGTTAGATTATCTTTTATCAAAAATTGGTATGGAAGTGAATATTTGGTATCTTTAGATTGTTTCTGGGTAGAACAGATTTTTTTAGGAAATTTCTTTAATATTCGATTATCACAGCTGTTACATGATGAAAATAATTTTCAGACTTTCCACAAGGAATATTCATTTATACCTTGACCATATTATAGTACTAAAGTTTATATGTTGTGGCCCCTATTTTCATATTTTTTTCCTAGAAATGCTGTATTTGCAAGAAAACTGGTGCTTCGATTGGATGCGTTGCCCCCCGATGTAAACGAAGTTATCATTTCCCTTGTGGACTTCAGAGAGAATGTATTTTCCAGTTCACTGGCAATTTTGCGTGAGTTATTTAACTGTTAAATATGAAAGGTGAATATTAAAGAACAGGGGGAAATGGATAATCCAATAATATAATTCCCTTGTACAGTTTCTTTTTAAAGCTGCACTGAGTTTGAAATCTGCATTGAGTGTGTATATATATATATATGTATATATACATGTATATATAAACGTACTCATAAATACACACACACATCTATTTCCTCATCCCTTTATGGGGTCATTTCTGTCTGCCAAGTCTTGAGAATTGCCATATCCAGAATGGGCCTGATGATTAATATTCACCTTCAGCTCTCAGGTCTAGGATATGATATGGAAATGTTAATTTATTCATGTTCAGTGAAAATTTCCACCTTACGTAATTCTAGATTTTTATGTCACTCTTTAGAATTATTGTTCACTTTTCTTTCACAAGGCTTATAAGTATTTCTTACTGAGTAAATTGAAGGCATGTAAACTTGGTTGAGTCCAAAGAATAAGTATTATGCCCTGGAATGTCCCTGAAAATGTTGGCTTCCTAAATACAACTTCAAGCATCAAGATTTTAAGAATTTTGGCATTTGATGTCATAAGTGTTTTATTTCTTTTAGTCTTAACGCTCTTGATGTATTTAGTGGATTGTTACCATGTAAGAAAACTGCAGTTGGATTAGGAATAGGTTATTATTTGCGTTTTATGTATTATAGGATTAAAATATTTTTAAAGTGTAACTTCCTGCCTCCTTTAATTTTATGCAATGTTGACTATAATAGTATGTACTCAATTGTTAAGTACAATAGTGTGTATACTCCATTGCTAACAATGTTACATAGGATTCTCAATATTAGTTAATGAACTTCTGTATGAGGTAAGTGTCACCACCAAAAAGTTTACATTTTGAAGGTCCAGCTCTCTTTGGTCATAGTTTGTGAGACTAATCTATCGTGCCAAGGCTCTAGTCTGTTGTAGGTTAATTATGAGACAGGTACAAATGAATTTTGTCTTATATATGTGAATTATAGTGCTAGCCTTGTTTTGCCTTGTAATTCATTAGGTATTGTTTTTAAATAATTTACATTTTTAGGTCATTTTGTTGGAACCATCGACCTGTTCAAATCATTACATCTAATAGTTATAGAGAATCCTTACCATGCACCATTTGCTTGGAATTTATTGAGCCTATTCCAACTTATAGCATTTTACGAAGTCCTTGTTGTAAGAATGCTTGGTTTCATAGAGAGTGTTTACAGGTAAGATATGTTTTGTAAGCTTTCTCTGATTGATATGAAACTTGTGGCTTGCTGATTTAAATTTTAAATTCGAATTGACATGTCTATATTAGGTCTTACTACTTGTAACTTTTTAAAACAGCTTTAAAGCATTTAATTTGAAGCATATTTTACATATAAAATTTACCCTATTTAAGTGTACAATTAACATTTGAATAAATAAATTAGATGCAAGCTTTTAATGTATACTTATGAAATTTTGTTGTTTTCACCTAAAGATTTTGTTTATATTTCACAATGAGTAAAATGCAGATTTTAATTCCTAAGTTCCATTTGCAAAACCAGGATATGTGAAATGATAATAAGCTTGTTAGCAAGCTAAGATATTTAAATGTTAAGAGGCTTTTTTTTAAACTATGATAAACACTTTCTCATAACTTCTTGACAGGGAGTTGATTACTGTCAGTGAATTAAAAATATTGATTCTTTGAGAGTCATCTTGTATATTAAACCCAATGGCTTCTTTTCAAGTAAATAGAATATGATTTAAAAAACACAACATTAAACAATTTAATAATTTTTAAATTCAGAAAATACTTGAAAACAATTTTAAAGATACCAGTTATTAATAACATCAAATGTGTAATATGCATGTGTGAAAATGCCAGCTGATAGACATAATAGAATGCCAAATAACAAAAGATTTACTTAAGTTTAATACTGTTTCTTAAAGCTTGGATTTTATTATTGCTTAGTAAAATGAAAAGTTGTTGGTCACAAATTATCTACAAACAAATTTTTAAAAGTTAGGAGATGTGAATTCTTATATTTCAGTAAAGTCTTTAAAGTACTAACAGTAGTAAAAGTAGTGAAGCTTGACTGTTTACTTTCTATATTTTTGTATTGGCCTTGAAATTATATACTTAGGGTTATTCAGTTACAAGTGGCAGGATGAACCCTATTTTGTTGAGGAAATATTAGAAATTCTGTTAACTCTTATAAAGAAATGTTTATAAAAGGATCCCAGAGAGTGAAGTTAATAAACAACATCATGAAGTGTTATCCTTACCTATTGAGGAAGAAGTTCACATTATATGAGAATCTTTAAAAAGTAATTTGTCTTAATTAAGGGTTTGTGTTTGAATGAATGTAATTGCTGCCAAATGTGTCATCTTGTTAATTTTGTAACAGTATGTTATTTTTCAAGGCAAATAAGATTTGCCTCATTTATATGTTAATATAATTAAGCAGAGAGAGGTCTCAGACTTGACCTAGTATTGTTAGGGCTTTTTGTGAACACTCTGAAACTATCAAGTTTTTAATTCTCTCATTAAAAAGGTAGAAATAATATTACTAACAAAAAAGTAGGTCTACTTTATGCAAATGTAATTTAAAATCACAGCCACATGGACACCTGTCTATGATATAAATACCAGTAAACAATTGTTACTTGATTAGAGCATACTAAGACAGTATACTAATTCTTGAGTCACTTTCTCTAAAGGATCTCCAGTGGCTTTTCTACTCTGATATCAGTGTTAACTGAAATAGTATAGTCTGCCCAGTCTAGATAGCTCTGTGGTGGTTAAATGAATGTCATTATTTGTAACCACTACATGTGCTATACATTAGGATTCTGTGAGAAGAGACAAGAGATTAATTTCAAAGAAATTGGTAAAAAACTTTCCACTCTTTGTATCTAGAGAATTGTCACTATTATTGTTCAGTTGGATTTCTCCATAATTGCTCTAGTCTTGTTAGTGTCTTCCATGTATCTTATCCTATTTTTTCCTCCAAACCAGATACTTCCTTGTATTGTATTCTATAGTTTGTAAGATCTTGGCTTCTGTCTGCAATTGTTCAAAGATCCTTTAGGTTCAGAGATTTCAATACTTTGTTGCTTCCCTCCCATATGCTCTGTGGAGTGGGTGGAGTGCCACTTGCTAGGTGTCTGAACCCAGAATCATCTTTATTCACTTCTTTCTTCAGCATCCACATTTCATTCCCCCCTAGTGTATCAGGTCTACTTAATAAATATTTTTTATGTATCCTTTTTGTTGCATTCCTATTCCCTTTGCTTTAACTTCAAACACTTTTTTGGTAGGAGCCTACTAGTTGGTCTTTCTCCTGGGTGACTTATTTCCTATCAATTTATTCTTCACACTACTGGCTTTGACTTGCCTGTTTATCCTCATTACTTAGTTCATTTTGGAATATAATCTCTGAGTATACTATTAATTGTACTCTCCCGATCCTTTCTCTTGCCATTGAGACTTGATATATGTTTATACCTTATCTCTGGAATGTCTCTTGTCCTATTTTCCAGGCAAACCTCTATTTCTTCTTCCAAACTTAGCTTTGGCCTTACTATCCCTGTGACATATTTGTCAGTGTATACTTAGGTACTTCTTCGTCTTTCTTTCATGTATATACTTTAATAAAAACACACATACTTTTACACAATATTATAGCTGTATACCTATATGCCCGAATTCCTTGAGGTAGAATCTTAAGTCAATGTTTTTATTTTTGGCACATAACCAAATGTTATGTTTCTATTTTTGGTACATAGCATACATAGTGTTTGGCATCTGTAAAGTAGGGGTTAACTATTTTTAAATGAATGTGTGCTACTAGTTTTTATTGGGGACTGGCTACTCTTTCTAGCATGCTTATGGTTTCCTGTTTTCTTCTGAGTACCCTCTGGTGCATCTGTATTTGTATTTGCTGTAGCAATAGATTTTATACTTCTACCTTTTTAGGAATAAAACTGACTTAGAGTTAAAAACAGAACCAGGGATGATTTATATGTAAAACTTATTTAAATATCCTTCCTGGATGAAGTAACTCAAGATTTTCACTGTTTTTCTCACACTGTGGCGGACAATACAATATTTAGGAACAGAAATGACACTAGGGCATAAGGTTGAGAAAAATATATGGGTAATGAGTGTACAGCTAAGAGCAGTCTATTCAGTAGTTTGATTTTTTTTTTTTTTTATTAACTATTGGGGGAAAAAAGATCCCTAGATTTTAGCAGTGGGATAGCTTAGTTTATAAGGACAAATTTTGAGCACCCATTAGCATAGAAAAGGTTTTCATAATATGATAAGTGATAAATAGCACATTTCCTGTTACATTAATATAATTCGTAACCTGATAACAGACTTAAATTGTTAACAATAGATTTTCTGTTTTCCACTGTAGGGTCAAGCGATAAATGCGGGAGTGTTTTTCTTTAGGTGTACAATATGCAACAATAGTGACATCTTTCAGAAAGAGATGTTGAGAATGGGGATTCATATTCCTGAAAAGTGAGTAACATATAGCCTTTTTACAAAAAAGGTATTTTAAATGTAGGATTTAATAGCAATGGAAATAGTCATTTATGTCTGATTGAGTGATCATGGAATTTAGCCGTTTCAAGTGTTGAAATGTAAAGCCTCCTCCTTCTCCCTAGATTGCCAGTTCTTGGAGAGCAGAGACTGTGACATAAATGTCTCATTAGTTGGTTTAGAGTCTCTTAATAAGTACCTCAGCTGTGTCCAATTTTAATTGGTTGATTTATGCACAATTATAATAGTCTTCAAAATGGTATGTATAAATTATCTAAGAGAATCAAGATGGGGTTCAAAGTGTATGAGAAGAATTTTCTTAGTGCTTAAAGATACGGAATTCAGAAATAATGATAGTAAATTTGAAATTAGAAATTAGAAGTAAAAATATCAGGGAAAATGTGTTTTAGAAAACTTCTAGTTAATTTCTCATTTAGCATTTGAAAATTTACTGTGAGACTAATTAACTGTAGGATAAGATGACACTAATGGATTTATATCCTGATGAGAATGATCCTAAAAAGGACAACTTTTATCCCTATTGCTAAGATTCATTACTGATCCTTTTATGTAACATTATAGGTTAAAGTATATTTTATATCTTGCTTCTTTTACAGAGATGCATCTTGGGAATTAGAGGAAAATGCTTATCAAGAGCTTCTGCAGCACTATGAGCATTGTGATGTCCGAAGGTGTCGTTGCAAAGAAGGGCGAGACTATAATGTACCTGATAGGTATTTCTGAAAATTCAGTTGTGCTTAGTGGTTCCTATTTAAACCATCAGTTGAGAAAATAGGTTTTCTGATTAGTGAAATGTAGTTTACTCTTGAGATGTTTGAAGTTTTAACTTCTCTGCCTTCTAAAATTGTAAGGTTTAAACTTTCAATGTAAAGAGTGAGAACTGGGCCTGGTGCACAATAAGCACTCACGTTAGCTGCTTTCTTTCTTCTCGTTATCACTGGGCAGAACTATCTGGGGGAGTGGGGGAGACACACCCATAGAGGACACACACCAACACACCCATACCCTCACAGAGGGATGATACACACACATCCGTGTGGTGAGGAAGGTATCTGGATACCTCTCTTGCCATCCTCACTTCCACACATTTAGGAAGCTGTATCCATTTCTATACAAAGAGGATGTACTCATACCTACACAAAGAGGACAGAGCCCCACACCACAACCCACATCCGTACCCATATAAAAAATATTAATACGGACTGTCATATATTACATAACACAGTGGGGAAACATGGAAGGGGAGAACAGGTGACAGAGAATATGAATATGAGCCACGTAGGAAGTCTGGGTCCCGTTCAACTACACAATACCCGAGGTGTCTGAACAAGTTTATTTTAGTAAATATTCCTCACATTGAAATTTACTGGTTTTTCTTTCTCTTTCTCTCTCTCTCTCTCTCTCTCTCTCTCTCACACTCTCATTCTCTCTGCCCTTCTAAAGGATAAAATAAACTTTTACTTTTATATATCTTAAAAAAAAAAAAAGAGAGAAATTTACTGAAAGCTTCTTCCATATCAGATACATCGACACAGCAATATCCTTGCAAGCATAGTCATCTCCAAGTAGAAAGGAAAATTTTTTTCTCCCTTTTAATCATTCTTTCTGATGTTTTGTATTCTTTGTATATGTGCATGTGGGTGCATATGATGTTATTATTAGTTTAGGTTTTTACGTCAAGTTAAGAGTATATTTAGAGGAGCAGATAATCTGATTAATTTCCTTTGGTAAAAGGATTGGTTGTGTGTGTGTGTAGCAGAGGTGGTGTTTGAAATTAGACTAATACCAAAATGTAAGCATCTACTTTTCTTTATGTCCTTAGCAAATGGGAAATAAAGCGTTGTCAATGTTGTGGTTCCAGTGGAACACATTTAGCCTGTTCCTCGCTACGATCATGGGAAGAAAATTGGGAGTGTTTGGAATGTAGAGGTATTATCTACAATTCAGGTAATACTTTGTAATTTTGAATAAAGGTATTTATTTACGTTTTTACCTGTATTTCTATTAACATTGGAACTTAAATCTGTAGATTTCCAAAAAGCCAAAAAACATGCATTACCCAACTCTAATGTGGGAATTACTGATTGTTTATTGGAAGAATCATCACCTAAATTACCCAGACAGTCACCTGGAGCCCAAAGTAAAGATCTACTAAGGTGTGTATTTTGAATTGGAGAACAACTTAAAAATATATTTGGAAAAAATTTGACAGGAAATGCTGTATACACTTAGAATATTAACCGATCATACAGTAGTCTAAAAGAGTGTTTTTCAAACTGCAGGACCCAACATTTGATTGTGAAATTATTGCAACTGCATTAAAAAAACAATATGAAATGGAATAGAATAGAATATAAAATATCAGATTGTATTGAGTGTAGGAAGAATATATGTGAAATCTGAGTTATTTTATTGTGTACTGAGTCATGATGTAAAATTTGTTATTAAAGATAATTTGAAAAGCACTGATCTGAAAATGTGCTCAGAATGTTATTTGATTATAGAGTAAGACAGGAAATTAAAATATCAAGCATACCATATCACTTTGTTATGAGAATAGAATCCTAGTTAATATAGAGATGGTTTATTTTTTGATGTTGTAATCGTTGTTTGCTTAATGTATTTATTGTCACTGTCAGCTCTTCCCTTTAGAAAGTTTAAGGCATATTTATAAGTATTATCACATTAGTTATTAACTGTCTCCATAAGATAGAAAAATAACTAACTTTCAAAATCATAAACATTTAAACAAGACTTGGAGTTCTATCTTTATAATGTGTCAGGTATTTGTTCTATTGTACTTAGAATTTTTAAATTTATGTAGCTTTACAAAAGCATTGTTAGAGCCTTGCTTTACCCAATAGGGCAAAAGTAGAAAAGTAGAATTAGTAGCTAAGCATGTTAAAGTACTTTCGTGTCTGAAATAGTTTCAAGTTTAAAAACTTAGAAGATGGAAAAGAGAAATTTTGTGAAAATATTTGATAACCGGCTTTGCAAACAGGTGGATATTAAGTACGCTTCAAAAAGTAAAGAATTGCTGTTTTAATGTACCACTTGTGTGTGTTATAAAAATCTGTTAAAAATATTGTTATAATACTTTTAATGTCAAAAAGATGTGTGCATTATGTTTAAATAATTTTAATAGTTAAGATTCCAAAGATTTTTTTTACTCCAGGGAAGCATGACTCCTTGCTCCTGCTTTAATATGCAGTCAAATTCTAGAAGAATAGCATCAGCATTTCAACTTATCCAGGCAGGAGCAAGGAATCAACCTCCTATAAGAAGTTGTATTTTCTGAAGAGTTATCTCCAAAGGACTTTGCTTTTTATTGAACTTGGATTAATGAAGAGAGGATTGTATGAATAAAGAAAAAGCATAAGCCTGGCTTCCTCTGAGGCATTATAATGTCTTGAAATTGACAACTCATACTTGGTATAGAAAGATGACTCATGAGCATTGCCCAAAGTGAGATTATTTTGAATACTTTAATTCCAGTTACAGATGGAGAAACTGAGACAGGGAGTGATTTTTTTTTTTTTGAGCTAGTCCATACAATCAGCTGGATTGTTAAAACACAGATTGCTGGGCCTTATGCCCAGAGATTATGATTCTGTAGATGTGCTGTGGGGCTTAATAATTTGCATTTCTAACAAGTTCCCAGGTGATGCTGCTGCTGCTGGTCTGGGACCACACTTTGAGACTTACTGGTCTAGACTAAAAGGTACTATTTAAGGGATTGTGAATTTGTTTAAAATATGAGCTCTACTGTTAATTATAACTTTATGATTAAAAATACATTGTGTAATCTCTCTTACTCTGGTTTTCTCATATAGTAAGCAGCGATTACATTTGCTTTTTTAAAAAAGTATAAAGTGAGTATGAAATAAGCTGAAAGTAAGCAAGTTTGTGTTTTAGTCATTGGCCAGGAAGGTGAGAGTTTGAGCTTCTGATTCTTAAACCTGAATCCACTGATTGGTCAAATTTGAGATGATCATCTGTCAACATTCTTATAACTGATTCTAATTTGGTAGAAGATTGGGGTAAGGAATCAAGAATTTAAAACTTAGATTGTCAAAGAAAGATTTTTGGTTCCAGTAGCAACCATTGTTTTACTTTTGGGTGGAAGTTGGGGAAGAATATCCTTTTAATCTTTTTTTCTTCTTCTTTTTTATTGGCTACATAACTGCTATTTTGCAAATACTTTAAAGTACTTACTTCTGTGTTTAAATTCATGTTTTATAGGCAAGGCAGCAAATTTAGAAGAGACATTTCTACTATACTGATAGAGTTAGGATTCCAAATTAAAAAAAAAACTAAAAGATTGTATATCAACAAAGCCAATATCTGGAATAGTGCCTTAGATGGATTCAGAAATCAAAGCTTTAATCCTTCATATGCAATTGAAGTAGCATATGTTAATGAAAATGATAACTTTGGAAGAGAGCGTCCTGGATCAAAGCAAGAATTTCTGAGTCTCTTAATGCAACATCTTGAGAACTCATCATTGTTTGAAGGGTCCTTGTCAAAGAACTTATCTCTGAATTCTCAAGGTAATGATTTTATATATTCTCATACATACTATCGCTTGTATAAAAGAAGAAATAGCTGGTTAGAATTGATATTCAATACCTGTGGTCTAAATATAACTCACTTTGTTAATAAACAACTGATAGAATCACAGGAAAAAGGGGGCAGGGAGTGATATTTTAAAAAGTAAATTTTGTGGTGAAACAATTTTTAAGAATACCTGTACTTTCTTTCTAGCACTATCTCCCTTAAAGTGATTCCATAATTAAGTGTAACTTGTACTTTGTATTCACTCTAATTTCACTTGAATAAACTAGCCAAATGGAGGGGATTATTTGAACTCTTTTTTGTTCATATATTTGGAATTTGCAGTTGGCTTTTTTTTTGTTTTTTTTTAACAACATAGGATTTTTATATTCTGGTACACATGTCAATGTACTTTTGTCTGTAAGAATTTTTTTACACATTTATATGATACTTTTCTGTCTTTACTATTGGTAAGGATTTAATGTAATTAAACCAGACATCTCAAAACAGTGGGTAATTCTAGCATTCTCTTTTAGGAGCTTTTATACCATTTTTATTACGATAGGAAATTTGAAAGAGAATGAGAAGACATTTCATTCCATTTGAATTTCCTCCTATATTTTCTCCAGAACTTCCTCACCATTGCCTAAGGCTTTATTTTTACTATATATAGTTCACACCGTTTAATTCTAAACTCTAAAGAAAAAAAAACCTTCCAAGTAATCAGTATTGTTAACTCAAGGCAGCTTTGATACAGTGGAGAGTATATGAATTTAAGTCACAAAATCTGAATTCAAGTTTATACACATCTACTTCAATAGCTTTGCATTCTTCCCCCCACCCCCACCCCACCCACTGCTCTCCTGTGCAAACTTCTAACTACTTCCTGGACATCATCTAAATCTTTTATCTCCTAGCAATCACCTGAGCTCCCCAGAGTGCCCAAACTAGTAGCTCTGGCAGTTTCACAGATTCATGACTTACCACCTCATCTTTTCCCCCTGCCTCTTTCCCAGCCTCCACCTCTAGTCAGTCACCACGTTAATCACTTCTCTGTTGGGACCCACTTTCCCATCAATGCTCCCCACTCAGCTCCACACCACTGCCCTGCCCTGGCCTTCCTCATGCCATTCCTGGATGTGTATGCCCACAGCCTCTGCCGTGTATCTACCCTGCACACAGGGACCAGATGAGCCTCCTAAGCAGCAGTTCATCACATCATTCCTTTCACTGAAGACTTCCAGTTCCCTATTGCTACTAAGGCTCCTTAGCATGGACTGCTTTCAGGGCCCCAGCATTTGTCTCTAGATTTACTTTCAATTCTTCTTCTTGTTGAGCTTTTTAGGCCAGACTAATTTACTAACTCTCCCACAAACATGCCACACATTTTCCCACCTCTGAACTTTTCCACAATAACATGAAGCCTCCATTGGTGACTCTTCTAAATTTTACTTTTTCAAAACTAAGCTCTAAGCCATCTCTGTGATGTTCTCCCTAGATACATCAGCTGATTTCTCCAATTTTGAGTGTGTAAATGTTTTTTGATTTTGCATGATGAGATGTGGTGCCTCCTCTAGCAAGCAGATCACAGGACAGCTTCCCTCAGAGTCATGCATTTCCCCAAAGAGAATGTTGTCTGTCCCTCAGCCTACTGTTGTGAGCAACCAAAAGTTGTCTTCCTGACCCTTTCCTGGTAGCCCTGCCCCATCCCCCTTACAGGGTTGTTCAAGATGAATGTGAAAATACTTCATACACTGTTGTCAGTTTATGTTAGGGATGAGCATTAAACAGGAATAAAGACAGGAAAATTGAATCAATTACAGACCCTTGGCCTGGCACAGTCCTAATTCCAGCACTTTAGGAGGCCAGAAGGATCATTTGAGGCCAGGAGTTTGAGACCAGGATAGGTAACATAGCAAGACCCAGTAACTAATTAAAAAATTAGGTAGGCGCACCACTGCAGTCTAGCCTGGGCTATAGAGCAGGACCCAGTCTCTAAAAAAATAAAAAATTGCAGATCCTAAAATTTTAACTTTCTTAAATGCTTAAATGTTTTTCTTCAAAACTTTCCTACATTTCATACCTAAAATGACTTTAAAAGTAAATATAGGCTTTAAGTAAATAATTACCCTTTTTGCCATCAAAGATGCATGCATTTAAAAAAAAAAAAACACTTCCTTCTCCTTTGCCACCTACTTATGGAGGCACCTTTGACCTCTGGCTGGCTTTTTGATTTGTTTCTTTTTTGGATTTTTACTTTTTAGGGTGGTGATGGTGAAGTAGAAAGGTCATTTTGTTGGCTGTTGCATAAGCCACCCCTCCTCAACGTGAGCATGATTAGCTGAAATCACTTTGTTATTTCTAGGTGAAATTAGCCATGTTATTAACACGTCTCTGATTTAAAGCAAATACTGCTGTCCTTAGCTGGGAAAGGTATATACATACAAGAGATTGTGGCTAGTACCATCAAAGAAGTCCCCAGGAGACCTGAGTTTCTTCTTGGCCACTGACTTCCTATGAGACTGTTCCCCTCAAGCACCAGGGCCACAGTTTCCTTACGAAGCAGGCGATCTTTAAGGAATTTTTCAGTTCTAGAAACTTCTGGCTAGTTCTGAAAAGACGTACTGGCTGCAAAAATGCTTTGTCACCTTTTTCTAAAAATATTCACCTTTTTCTAAAAATACTTATGGGGGAAAAAAAATCAGAATGGATTCAATCAATTACACTAAATCTGTTGCCTCTATGGGAGCAAATAACCCAGGTGGGTGAATGAGTTAAAAAAATTTTTTTACAACCCAGAACAAATCAATAAAAGGATCAGTCTTCCAATAATCCCGACAGGAAGGCAGCGCAGGATTCTTGTGCCTATTATACAAATGAGAAAACTGAGGTTCAGAAAGTTTAAATGGCTTGCCTCTTAGTAATCTGCCAGTAATCTCAGTAATTTTAGCAATCTCGGTAATAGTCCAATCATCACCACCCTAACTTCACCTCACCTCCTGGTGCTGCACTAGAGTCCCCTCAGAGGTGGCCATTCCCTGTCAGTCCACCTCCAGAAGGCCAGGCGGGTAAGGTTGCTCCTACATTCTTAATTACTTATGCTCTCTGGATCTCAGTTTCTTCATCTGTAAAATGTGACTACCAATATGTAGCTTATAAGGTTATTGTTGAAGAGATTTTATTATAAGTTCAGATATTGTTAATGTTACTTATTGAAAAATCACTTTCAACAATTAATAGAAAAAATGAAGGAAAAATTTATACAGTTGTCTTTTTGGCACATCAAAGTTGCTAAAACTTTTTAAATGATAATTTAAAAAATAAGTAAAGCTATGAGAATATGGTAAAATAGCATGTACTGTTGGGAGTAAATTTGTACCTTTTGGGAAGATGATTTAGCAATATAGATCAAGAACCTTAAAAATGTTTATACCCTTTGACTCACTAATTATGTAGGAATCTGTCCTAATTAAATAATCAAATACATATAAATGAGAATATGTAAACAGATGTTGATTTTAACATTATCTCATATAATTGAAAATGTCACTTAGCCAGTATAGCCAGTTATAGGGGGATGGTTTGCATTATAGTATATCTCTAAGTTAATATTGATGAATTCATTAACTGTAGATATGAGTAATGTTTTGAATAGTATAAGAAAAAGTTTACAATATAGTAAGTGGAAAAAAGCAGAAGTCATGTTATTTATATGCACATTTATATACACATACTGATGCAAATACAATCATACATCCCTTAATGGTGTGGATACGTTCTGAGAAATGAGTCATGAGGCAATTTCATCACTGTGCAAAGATGTACTTACACAAACCCAGATGGTGTACCCTACTACACACCTAGGCTGTATGGTATAGCCTATTCCTCCTAGGCCACAAATCTGTATACCATCTTACTACGCTGAATACTATAGGCAGCTGTAACACAATAGGAAGTATTGGTGTACCTCAACATGGAAAAAGTAATGCATTGCACTATGATATTATGATGGCTGTGACATCACTAGGCTAGGTGATAGGCATTTTTCAGCTTCATTATAATCTTAGGGACTACCTTTGTATGTGTAGTCTGGTCCTTCATTGGCCAAATGTCATTGTATAATATGTGTCTGTATACCAAAGTGCTTACAATAGTTATTATGGTGATAGGATTATAGGTGTTTTGTTTTGTTTTGTTGTAAGATTTTCTGTATTAAATTTTTCTATAATAGGTTATTATTTATATTCAGAAAAAATATATTTTTGTATATTTTAGGTGAGGTCTATATTTTCTACTTGATAGTAGCTGCTAAGAATTGTTTTATATTTAATGCTAGATTTTTTGATTAATTTTTTATATATGTATTCAGTAAAAATGGTGGTTATCTTATAATAATAAAAGAAGTGTATTCGATGTATTTTCATCTGTATTTACAGCTCTGAAAGAGAATCTTTACTATGAAGCTGGCAAAATGCTTGCCATTTCTTTGGTTCATGGTGGTCCTTCACCTGGTTTCTTTTCTAAAACGTTGTTTAACTGCCTTGTTTATGGACCAGAAAATACCGAACCAATTTTAGACGATGTTTCAGACTTTGATGTGGCACAAATTATAATCAGGGTAAGAAATGTTCCTGTTTGTTGAAATGTAGACTACGTTCTAGGTATATTTTAATATAAATGATCTGCAATAGAATAATAATACTCTCTGTGGAGTAAAGGTTGTCAACATACAATATTTCTGTAGAGTTCAGAACCAATTAAGAGATAGACCTAAAAGTCAGAGACTAATGTGCCAAGTTTAACACTGGTAAAATCAGTTGGATAATGTGACTTAGATTTGTGATCAAAATGGCTCCTCTGAACTAGAAGGATTTATCTACCTTGCCAGAGGCAATATGCGACAGGTTCCTTATTGGATGTTAGAAAGCACATAAAAGTGCCCTTTCTTGCAGTCAGGTGGATCTGAAGAGTGGAAGGATTTGTTTGGATCACCAGTCAGAATATTTATCTTTCCTCCTATAAGGAGATACGAGTGATCAGTGGAAAGTCCAGGCTGAATTTCTTCCATGTGGAAACAAGTAGGGGGGAACTCAATGCTCCCACCTAAAAATAGTTACCATTTATTGAGCACTTATAATTGACCCTGTACTACACATGGCACATGTACATTTATTATAATGCTCTAGGAGATAAGTATTGCCTGGATGTTACTGATTCAGAAACTAATTGAGGCAATGGAAGCCATTTAACTTTTCCTCCTTAACCTACTTAAGCATATTCTATCTATTGTCTCAATAGGTAGTATGGTTTAATAATTAAAAGCATAGGCTCAGAAGTCAGATTTTAGTTTCAGTGCCAACTCTAATAACTGCTATACGCTGTGTGACTTTGGGCATGTTAGTTAATCTTATTAGGCCTCAGTTTCTAAACCACAAAGTAAGCATTATTGAGGTGTGAGTTGTTATATTATAACAATTCTGTTTATTTGCCCCAAGACTGTTCATTCTAAAATCATATTTTAAATTGACCCAATTCTTTATTGTCCCTTTTGTCCTCTTTGCCAAAAAAGTACTTTAACTCCATTGTCTCCACTTCCAATTTCCTATTTATTTCTTAATTTCTTGTAATCTTGTGTTCCCACCACTACTCTCTCAGGTTAGCTAGTTCAGAGCTTATATTCAGGGATCTATATATCCAAAGACATTTCTTCTCTAATTTATCATCTTCTCTGACTTCTGCAATTACTGCCTTCTTAGAATTCCTCTCTACATTTTATTTAATATTGTACTCCCTCCTACCTTTGGCTACTACTTACTGTTTTATTTAATACTACTTCTTATCCCTGAAACTTTGGCATTTTTCACTATTGTCTTAACAATCCTCATTCTATATTCTTTGGAAAGACTTTTGTCTCCCATAGCCCTTCTTGAATGATTTATAGATGTATATTTTTGAGTCCCCAGACTGTTATATGCAGATAAGATCTGGGTCTTGCTCTGGCCAAAGTGGAAGAAATTTAAGGAAGAAAAAAAAAGATCTGGGTCTTGCTACCACATTGAGACCAATATGTTTAAGACAAAAGTAATTTTTTCCTCAAATTTTTTCTTTTTTTTTTTTTGCCTGTTTGCATTTTCTTTCCAAGAGTTTTCTTGTTTCCAAGCCATCCTGGAGAATCATTTTTATTCTTCCATTTTCCAGTTGCATGTCAAGTTAACTATCTCTAAGAGTGGCTAATCTTCAATCTTTCCTTCTTAATTCTAGTGTGCCTGCTATACCAAACTCAAATTTTATCTAGGCTTAGACAATTGGGATGTTATTCTATTAATAGTATTCTTACTGAAAAATATTCTTCCAAAAGTACAGTTTTGACCATATTGCTTTCTTCCTTGGGAATCTTCAATGGCTTCTCTTCTCATTGCCTATCAAGCAAATTTAAGAGCATTAGAGCATTTAGGACTTCCGACTCTCTTCATAATTTTATCTACTCCAGTCTCTGTCCTTCCTATCCACTGTTTGTTCATTCATTTAATCGACAAATACTATGTACCCCATATGTTTTATCAGCGAAGATGGAGGAGTGAACCAAAGGCCTTAACGTCTTAGAATTTACATTTTAGAGGGAACACAGAAGATAAATAAATATAACATACTATCATGTAGTACAATGTGTTATAAAGATAAACATAACAGAATAAAAGAAAGGCGATCGATAATGGTTGCGGTTTATATAAGTTAGGGTTTAAGCTATACTTCTGTATCAAATAGACCCAAAAAGTGGCTCACAAAAGGCAGATGTTTATTATTGCTCTCTAAAATCTGTTGTATAGATTTTAGGGTAGGAGGTGGCAAATTATGGACTAAGTCTGGCTCCACTGCCTCTTTTCAAAATGGTTTATTGGAACACAGTCATGCCTACGTATTATGTGTCTGACTGCATTCACACTACAGTGGCAGAGTTGAGTAAGTATGACAGACACCAGATGGTTCAAAAAGCATAAAATACTGTATGGCCCTTTATAGAAATGGTCCCTATTTTAGAAATACAGTTGTGATGTACAAAATCATCTAGGGAATTGGGTTCCTTCCTCTCAGTATTGTGTAATCACTTAGGATATTGTCTTTATTCACATGGTTGATTCTTGCTCTTAAGGGAGAAAGAGGAAGTAGAGATCAGGGAAATTTGAGACATTGTTTCTATTTACATCCCATTGAACAGATGTCAGTCCCATAGCCACAATTAGCTGCAGGAAGATTGGCAATGTACTCAGGTAAAACTCAGGGTGGAGGGTTTTGGGGGATGAGGCAATGTTTTGGTTTGATACCCAACTATTGTTAGTCTGACAGAGTGTAAAGATAGTATTTTGAACAAAGTAGTCATGAAAAACTTGTGAGATTTCAGCAGAGATTTGAAATGAATGAGGGAATCATGTAAATCTCTGTGAGAAGAATGTTTTGGGAAAAAAATAACAAGCAAATTTTCCATTAATTGATTATTGATTGCCTCCTATTTCTATCTTTTCTCCCTCTGGACCTTTCTTTAAGAGCTAACCTATATGAAAGTGTCTGGCACACAAATGGTCAAGTATTTCTTTGTTTATGCTATTTACTGAAATATTCTTTTGATAAAATTCTATCCATCTTTTAATTCTCAGCTGTTATTCTTTCTCTTTCACGAAATCTCAGGTCATCTGTCTTGCCTCTCTAGTGCTATATAACTTTTCTGTCAGTTGTTTCCTTTTATATAAATAACTTCCTGTAATAAAGTGGCATTATGCTCTAGATTTCTTGAAGGCAGAAATATACAATATTTGTTGAACTGTATTGTCAGACAATCTAGAAAAATATTTTTTGGTATTCTTTCCCTCTACCCTGATGTACTCAGAAATTGAATATAAAATAATACATGTCATATGAAATATAAATGTCACTCACAAGTAAATGAGTAAATGGGTATATTTTCTCCTTCATTACAGATAAATACTGCAACAAATATGGCTGACTTAAAGTCAGTAATAAATGAATGCTATAGTTACCTAGAGTTTATTGGATGTCTCAGACTTATAACAACATTAAGTGATAAATCTATGTTGGTAAAAGACATACTTGTATACCATGTAATTAAGAGAGTCCAAGCACCCTTTGAAAGGTAAGTTGTTTATGTGTGAAAGAATCACTCAAATTACATGTTTAAAGTGCTTAATTATCTTATAATGTGAGGTATATTTGGTAATAAATATAAATGTTTATCTCAGGAAAAAATTAAAATGCTACTTAAAATTAGTACTTTAAAATAAACCTCTTTAGGATGATTACTGTTCTGAACATTCTATACAGAATTGCATAAATGTGTGATGCTTTCATAGAAGTAATTATTACATCAATTTATAATTAGTTTTCTAAAAAAATTATTTTAAAAACTCTTACCACATGAGCCAACTATTCTATCTCTGTTCATTCATTTAATAACTATTGAACACTTGTCATCTGCTGGATAATGTAAATACTGACCATTCTTAGACAAGGTAGATGTGATTCCTGTTCTTCTTTAATTTAGAACACTGGTCTTCAAACTTTTTGTGCCAATAGCCTTTAAATGTAGTTTGACAACTTAAAAGTATTACCTCACACTCTTCCTTTTTTTTTTGAGACACTGTCTGACTCTGTTCTCTGTCCCCAGACTAGACTGCAGTGGCATCGTCATAGCTCACTGCAACCACAAACTCCTGGGCTCAAGGCCATCTTCCTGCCTATATAATCACCACCTAGATCAAATAATTATTAACCTGTGCCAGTCTTGTTCATCTATACCTTATCCTTGTTATTGACTTCAGTATTATTTTCAAGCAAATACCAGATACCATATCATCTCAAACATGATCAATTCAGTTTTATTAAAAAGACTTTACTGTTACTAACCCACAGATAAATATACTTGATGTGTTTAAAACCATTATAGTTAGTCTTACTAAAATTTATATTGTCTTTTTGACCAATATAAGCCTCTTTATGTTTCTTTTGATGCGGGCCTTAATGATCTTTGAGAGCTTTCTTGCTATATGATATGACAAGGTGTTTCAGACTCATTTTGTACATTCTGGCCAAAGGAACCCCTTTTTTTTATGGGAAGTGGTATCCACAGTCTGGATGTTAGGGGTGCTCATTTTTGCCAGGTCGATCATTGTATCTAGTCCTTTTCAGTGGATCCAAACTAGAAAATATAGGATTTTTGCTTTTTTTTTTTGGTTTTGGTTTGATTTTTTTAAGATAAAATATATCATGAGTTTATATTGACACTTCACATTCATTACTACATAATTTTTACTTAACTTTTTCTTTGTCTCCTGTTGAGAATTCCAATTCTCAAGGTACTGGAGAATTAGAGTATGAGGTTGATAAATTCACTCGATTTATTCCAGATTTTATAAACAGCAGTTCTAGATCAACAATATTAACATTATCATTAAGAACATATAATATTACTAAAAACAGATTAAAATTTATTTTTCTTTTTGTTCTAAGGCTGTACTGTCAAATTACTGTACTTATAAGTCACTAGGAATATTCTCTGTGTTATGCTACTAAATGGGCATACTTTTCATTTGTTATTTTTAGTGATTAATTTTTATTAAAATTTGATTTTATTTTAAAACTATGCAAAGTATTTGCATAGTTCCAAAGTCACATCTATAAGACTATATTGAAAGAACTTAGCTCTATGATATAAAGTATATTCAAGAATGTATAGGTTTCATTCTTACCATGTCCATCTTCTATCCCCTTATGAAGTAACCACTTTGATATCTTTTTGTGGTTTATCTTCAGTTACTTTTCTTTTTAATGGTAACAGATAAATATATGTGTATATCTATGTTTTAGTCCATTTTTTGCTGCTATAACAGAATACCTGAGACTGAGTAATTTATAAAGAAAAGAAATTTATTTCTCTCAGTTCTATAATAGATGCTAGGAAGTCCAAGGGCATGCTGCTAACATCTGCCCAGCATCTGGTGAGGGCCTTCTAGTTGTGTCATAACGTTGTAGAAGAGCAAGTGAGCACACAAGGCAGAGAAATTGGAAATTTAGAAATGGCTGAACTCATCCTTTTTATCAGGAGCCCACTCCTGCGATAACTAATCTCCTCTTATGATGCATTAATCCATTCATGAGGGCAGAGCACCCATGACCTAATCGCCTCTTAAAGGCCCCCGTCTCCCAATACCATTATATTGGCCATTAAATTTCAACATGAGGTTTGGAGGAGATATTTAAACCATACCATTCCACCCTTGTTCCTCCCCCCAAACTCATGTCCTCACATACAAAATATATTCATTTCATATCAGTAGCCCCAAAAGTACAGAGACTCATCTAAATCAGATATGGGTGAGATTCTGGGAAAATTCATCCTGAGGCAAATTCCCACTAGTTGTTAGCCTGTGAAATCAAAACAAGTTAGCTACTTCCAAAATACAATGATTAAGGCATAGGATAGACACTCCCATTCTAAAAGGGAGGAATAGGCACATAGAAAAGGGTAACTGGTTGTAAGCAAGTTCAAAACTCAACAGGGAAAAAAACATTAAATCTTCAGCTCCAGAATAATCATCTACTTTGACTCCATTTCCCACATTCTGAGCACACTAGGGCAGGGGTTCAGCCCCTAGGGCTTTGCTGGACTCAGTCCCTGCTTTAGCTCTCGGATTGGAGTCTTAGCCTCTCTCAAGCTGGAGTTGCATTTTGGTGGCCTTACAGTTTTGAGATCTCAGGGGCTGTCCCACTCCCATAGTTCCACTAGGCAGTACACTAGTGGGGACTCTCTGTGACAATTCTGCCCTTGTGTTAAGCTTCTGCCTGAGCCCCCAGGCTATCTCTGACATCCTTTGAAATCTGGGTGGAAGTAGCCCTGGCCCTATAGCTCTTACATTCTGTATGCCTGAAGAATTAGCACCACATGGACACCTCCAAGGCATGAGATGGCCCAGGGAGGCCACCTTGGTCTCGTCTCCCAAAACCATTCTGCAGTTCTAGAGCTCTGGGCCTGTGATGGAAGGGGCAGCCTCAGAGATCTCTGAAATACCTTCAGGGTTTTTCTCCCATTATGTTGATGTGTATTACCTGGCTCCCTTCTGTCCATGGTAATCTCTAGCAAATGGTTAGTTGCTTGGCCACACCCTTAGTATTCTCTTCTGAACTCATTTTTTCACTCTTTACATGGCCAGGCTGCAAATTTTCTAAATTTTTCCATTCTGCTTCTCTTTTCATTATAAAGTCCATCTTTAAATCATTTCTTTCCTGTTTGGTTAAAAGTAGCCACCCAGCAGCCTGAATGCTATACTGCTTGGTTATTTATTCTGCCAGATATCCTATCATTCTTAAGTTCTGCCTTCCATAGAGTCCTAGGACATGGACACAATTCAGCAAGGTGTTTGCTACTTTTGGAAACGGCCTTTACTCTAGCTTTCAATACTTTGTTCCTCATTTCTAAGACTGCATCAGAATGGCTTTACTGTCCATATTTTACCCACATCCAGTCATGACCACTTAAGTAATCTCTAGGAAGATTTAGATTCTCCCTTCTCCCTATAGCTTTCTTCTTCTTAGCCCTCACCAGAATCACCCTTAATGCCTCATTCATGGCAATACAGGCTTCTTCTAGCCTGCACTTCCAATTTTTTCCAGCTGCTACCCATTATCCTGTTCCAAAGTTGCGTCTACCTTTTCAGGTATTTGCTGTAGCAACAACCCCACTTCTTAGTACCAATTTTCTGTTTCAGTCCATTTTATGCTGCTATAACAAAATACCTGAGATTAGGTAATTTATAAAGAAAAGAAATTTATTTTTCACAGTTCTGGAGGCTGAGAAGTCCAAGGGCATGGTGCTGGCTTTTGGGGAAGGCCTTCTTGCTGCATTATAACATGGCTGAAGGGCAAGCAAGCACACAAGACAAAGAGGGGAGAAATCAAGTTGAATTCAACCTTTTTATCAGGAGCCCACTTTGGCAAAAATGGCATTCATCCATTCATGAGGGCAGAGCCCTCATAACCTAATTGCTGCTTAAAGGACTTACCTCTCAATATTGTTACATTAGCAATTAAATTTTAACATGAGTTTTTTTTTTCGGGGGGGGCATTTAAACCACAGCAGTGCATATTCATTTCTTCTATTAGATAAATAGTAACATGCCATCCACTCCTTTTTTCTTCTTGTCTTTCACTTGACAATATATTCTGTAGATCATTCCATGGTAGTAAATAGACATATCCCTTGTTCTTTTTTAGAGCTATACAGAACTCTGTTGTTTGGCTATATCATTGTTTTTTCCCACCAGTTCCCTATTGATGGACGTTTAGGATGTCCCCAGCACTTTTCTAAATTAAAATATAACACAGCGTTATAATCTTAAATAGTTACAAAGGATATGATTTCCAATATATTGTCAATATTGCAGTTTAAAATTGTTATGTAACTTTTAAATGTACCCAGATATTCTCTGACCATAAGACTCTTTAAGTAGTAAAATATTTTCATGGATAGAATTATCATTTATAATGATGATTGGTACACAAAACAATCCAAATATATTATAAACTTGGATATAGTTGTTAAAATTTTTATTTGAAATGCTTCTTTTAATGAGCTAGATGTACACAGTGTTCCTCCCTCTCCCCAGTAGTTTATCTATCTGTAGATGGGTTTTTCTCATTGTTAAGAAAGAGAATTTAATGTCATTCATTTCTGGTTTTTGTTTTTTTTAGATATAAGTAGCCTAGAGGTCAGTAAAGGTTTCCCTGTGTAAGTGGTATTTAAATTAAAACCTTAATGATAAATAGGAATTAGACATATCGAGATGAAGAGGCAAGAGAAAAGAGATTGAAGAGTATCCCTTCTTTTATGTAAAAGTTAAAAACATTATGAAGCAAAATATCTGAGCTTATGAGAGTCCCACAGATGTCAGAAATTAGGCTCAGACTGTAGAAATTTCCCTACACAGCTGCTGTGTATTTGCTTTTGTCTGGTACTGTAAAAGTAAAGCAAGACCAATTACTTTGTTAATTTCTCTGTTTCAGATTGGAGTCCAGACAGAACTCTTAAAACAAGGTTACGGCAAGCTGAGGGTTTTGATTTTTTCACATGACAGGGCACATTGGCTTTTGATTTCCTTGTTATAACTTTTTTTTTTTTTAAGACTAGTCAAGTACAGCAGTGAAAAGAGGGAAAGGATAGAACGAGGAATTCAGTCTGTAACTGACTGTAAATAATCAATTAAGAGAGCTCACTATCTTTGGACCAGCCACATTTAAACATTTATATATAATTTTAAAATGTACTTATTGATTAAGAATATCTTCTGAACATTCAGCAAACATTATTCTTAATGGTGAAATGTTATAGGCATTCCCCTTAAGACTAAGACAAGCCTAGGTTGCACACAATTAGCCCTGTCCTTTCAACAATATGCTGGAGGTCCTAGCAGAATAAGACTAAATGAATTAGTAAACATTATTAAGGATTGGAAGAACTAAAAAAGGCACTTGTAGTCTATATAATTGTCTACGTAATGCAATGCAAGAAATTATTCTGTAAAGAGTTTAGCAAGGTTACTGCATACAAAAAAGGATTCTAGCAGGGAGTTTTGCAAGTGAAAAGGAATGGTAACAAAATTAGTAAACGAGAGTAAACACTGATTGTACAAAAAAATTAATGTCTAATTGGGATATACAGGAAGAAACTAAAATAATTTTTAAGTAGTATAAAAAAAGTATTAGAATTGTAAGTGTTCTAAGGTCTTTATATTCTTCAGGAAAAAGATAAGTATATCGGTGCACTTAACATTTTATAAATGCCTATTAAAATTTTGAGGAGAGGGAACTATTAAAAATAAGAACTTAAAACAAGGTGAATTGAGATTTTACAAAATCAATTAATACAAAAATTGACAAGAAGGAGTAAAAAAGCATTTTTAAAAGGCAGTATAGTTGCCCAAAATAAAGTGATGGAAATAGTTTCCTAATACATTAACAGTTACAATAAATAAAAATTACTCTCAAAGCAAGTTATAGAAAAATAAATATGCAATATGATACTTTTATAGAGAGTTCCAAAACAAGTAGAGTAATATTAGCTATTAGGAGTATATATATATAGAGAGAGACTCATTTCACATGCAGACTGTAGTATAAATTTCTGTACAGTTGATCAGTATTTTCAAATAGTAGTTTCTTCGGAGAGGAAGAAAAGGGGAAATGATGATTAGGTAGGATTTAGCCAAGTGAATAGAATATTTTTCTCTAAAAAATATAAGCAAATGTGACAAAAGGTTATCTTTTAAAATTGTCTGATAGTTTGTGGTTTTTCTGTTATTTTCTCGCCTTTTATGTAAGCTTAAATATTTCATAATTAAAGGTAAATTTTATAAAGGCAGACTTTAATTTGGTTGTAATTTGCTTCAAAGGTAAGCAAAAGGTGAAAGTTGAAAGCTGGGAATAAAGCAAAGGCTGTATTGGGAGGGGCCTTAGAAACCATGGTAAGGAATATGGACTTTGTTTCACAGACAGGATGGGTGTTAGTTTCCTGTGGCTGCCATAAAAATTATCACAAACTGACTGGCTTAAAACAATAGAAATTTATTCTCTCACAGTTCTGGAGGTCAGAAGTCCAGAATCACAGTCTTGGCAGGGCTTCGCTCTTTCTGGGAATTTAAGGGGAGAATTGATTCTTTGCCTCTTCCAGCTTCTAGTGGTTCCAGCTGTTACTTTACTTGTGGTTGCATAACTTCAGTGTCTGACTATATCACATGGCCTTTCCCTCTGTATGTGTCTCTGTGTGCGTGTCTCTTAATAAAGACACTTTTCATTGGATAAAGAGCCAGTCCAAACAATCTGGGTAGGATGGTCTCATCTGAAGATCCTTTAACATGATTACATCTGCAAATGCCCTTTTTCCAGATAAGGTCACGTTCATAGGTTCTAGGGAATAGGATTCAGACGTATATTTTTGAGGGCCACCATTCAACATAGCTCAGGGTGAATGACAGTATTGAGGTTTATTTCTGGCACAGCATGGAAAATGGACTTGGAGATTTGCACACCCAGGATACAGTTCCATTGCGGGTGGTTTATAACAGGGTGGTAGCAGTGGTATGTGGAGAAATGAGCAAATAAAAGGGATTTCAGAAAAGGAAATTCATAGGACTTGGTAGTTAGGAATGGAAGAGGGAAGGGTTAAGGATGACTTTTATTATACAAATTTGATGGATAATGAGGCCATTTACTGTCATTTAAGGTTCATATTTTGTTTTTAAGGTGATTTCCTTCCTTTTGAACTTAAGTTTGGGTGCTTAGAATCATCCATATGGTACCCAGTAGTCTGTTGGATATATTTATAGGCTAGAGATAATAGATTTTGTAGTTATGAGCATAAACCTACTAAATAAAGCCTTGGGAGATGATACGATTGTCTAATTTATATAAAAGAGAGAAGACGGCCTTGTACAGATCTACAAGGGACAAACAGCAACATATTAAGCAAGTTAAAGAAAGAAGAAACCTATGAGAGGGACTGAAAAGCTCTGGCCAGAGAATTGGGAGGTAACCAGGAGACTGGTGCCATAGAAGGAGGTCATTCATGAACTTAGGGCATCCAGAGATGTGGACAGGAATGGAGGAAAAGTAACTAGGAAATTTTTGTCAGTGAATATAGAGAAGGGTTTCAAGTAGGTTTTCCAGGAAGGAAAACAGATGGGATTGAGTGAAGTGATTTTTTTTCCTTATTCTAACTTGGAAAAGATAAGCACATGTGTTATTCCTGTTTTGTGCTGCTATAACAGACTACCTGAGCCTGGATAGTTTATAAAGAACAGAAATTCATTTTCTCAGAGTTCAAGCGGCTAGGAAGCCCCAAGATCAGGGCATGAGCAAGTTTGGTGTCTGTTGAGGGCTGCTTTCTGCTTCCAAGATGGCACCTTGATGCTGTGTCTTCTGGAGGGGAGGAATACTGTGTCCTCACATGGCAGAAGATGGAAGGGCAAAAAGGGGCAAATTCTTATGGACAGTCCAATTCATAAGGGCAGAATCCTCATGACTCAATTATCTCCAAAGGCCACACCTTCCAATACTGTTACATGAAGGGATTAAGTTTCAACATGAATTTTTAGAGGGGACAAAAGCATTAAATCATAGCAACATGTTTAAGTCCTCTTAAGAAAGAGCCAATAGAAAAGGGACATAAACCAATATAGCAGAGTATTTGAAAAGGTGGGTGGGGAATTCAGAAAGTCAGTCTGATAGGCAAAAATGATACCTTTGCTCTTTCTTATTTAGTGAAGATGTGCATTTAAAAATTATCCATTTGGGCTGGGCACAGTGGCTTATGCTTATAATCCTAGCACTTTGGGAGGCTGAGCTGGGAGGATCACTTAAGGCCAGGAGGTTGTGACTAGGTTAGGCAATATAGCAAGACACCGTTTCTACCAAGAAAAAAAGTAGCTAGGCATGGCGGTGTGCACCTGTAGTCCCAGCTATTCCCCCAGCTAAGGTGAGAGAATTGCTCGAGCCCAGAAGTTTGAGGATGCTTTGAGCTATACTTGTGCCATTACATTCCAGCCTGGGCAACAGGAAAACCCTGTTTCAAATATATATATATGAGGGCTGTCCAGAAAGTATCCAGCCGTAATTTTTCGTATTAGATGGCTGGATACTTTCCAGACAGCCCTCACATATACATATTTGAAGTATCCAGCCATAAATTTACATATTAGATGACTGGATATTTTCCAGACATCCCTTGTATATTTATTTATTTATTATTTGTATTTCTTTTGTTAATTATACATTTTTGGGGCTCAATTTTCCTATTGAGCCAAAAATATACTAGAGAAATTCATAGAAATGAATATACTAGAGAAATTTATTTTCTGTCATGAATATTAGAATATTTTCCCACTTTGTCTTTGTTCATTTCTTTTAGCAATACAAAAGTTTTAAGTTTTTATGTGATTAAGATTTATCACTTTTTATAATGTCTAGGAAACTTCATTTTTATAATAACTAGCTTTGAGGTATAAAATACTTCAGATAGCCACTTCTTTCCTCTTAATAAAAAATTAACTTAATTTTAAAACTATAAAGCCATATAATGTAGGCATAATAAAATATTCATTTTAATGTATTTGCTTGCTATAGATCTGAAAGTATTATATATAGTATGTCAATATTTTCTTTTTTTCCCTCACATCTAAAAATATATTGGTTTTTTGTGAGTTTGTTTTTGTTTTGTTTTAATCATTAGCTGTTTCAAAAAGTGCCAGATAAATTAGCTAGAAATGTTAATACCATAATACTATACCAAACATACATGTATGAATGTTGGCTCATTGTTTTTCTTCTTCTAAGTTTTAAGCAGGGTCTGAAAACTCTTGGTGTTTTGGAGAAAATTCAGACTTATCCAGAAGCATTTTGTAGTGTCCTCTGTCATAAACCTGGGAATCTTTCTGCAAAAATCCTTAGTGATCTTTTTACAGTACACACATTACCTGACGTACAAGCTTTGGGGTTTTGGAACAGTTACTTACAGGCTGTTGAGGGTATGTGGATATTTTATTTTTATTTAACTATCTCAGAACATTTGTTTAGCATATTTCTTTCATTGAATTTTACCTTTTGGTATTAATAAAACTTTTATCTGCTAACTCCATATTTACAAAAGAGACTTATTTCAAAGCAGGTTTATGTGAATGAGTTAGAAATGATGGGAAAATGTTATAGAGTAAATTTATACTTTGCAATTTGTTTTTCTCTAGATAATTTGAGGTGAAAGGCATTCTTTCTGAAAAACTGTAAATATATAGATGATTGCCACAATGTAGCAGATTAGCTTTAAGACTAAAGCTTTAAAGTTTAACTCTTAGTTGAAATTTTGTTTAGGTTTTGTGTATTTTTTCATTACTTAGGTTTCCCGTCTGCATTTGTTGAACTAATTTATAAAATAGTGATGACCTAGAAATGGTCAAATATACAGTGAGTAATTGGACGAAATGATTTTATGAATCCTTCTATTAATACTTTGAGATTCACTTGTTGAATGAACTGTTTGCCTATTACTACACTTGGCTTAGTGATTTAGTTTGCCGAAGATGAGTGTGGGGAGTCTATGCCTTTTAATAATTCCCAGTCTAGAGTATATTGATGATAATTAATAGACAGCATGTATTTATTTTTCTTTCTTTTTCTCTTTCATTGGTAAACTTTTCAGATGGTAAATCTGCAACAACAATGGAAGACATTCTTATTTTTGCAACTGGTTGCAGTTCCATTCCTCCAGCTGGATTTAAACCCACTCCTTCAATTGAGTGTCTGCATATGGATTTTCCTGTTGGAAACAAGTGTAATAACTGTTTAGCAGTTCCAATCACCAATACATATAAAGAGTTTCAAGAAAATATGGACTTTGCCATAAGAAACACTCTAAGACTAGAAAAGGAAGAAAGTTCTCACTACGTTGAACATTAAAATGTTTCTTTGAACAAAGAGACCCTTCTTTAAAAGCTGCTATTGAAAACTTTCTTTTGTTTCAGAAATTTTTTCATCATCACTTTTCAACAAATTTGTTAGCTCCTTGGCCCAATAAAATTTATGATATGAAGATAAAGGAATGTTTTGGCCATTTAAGCTAAACAGTTTTTTTTGTTAAGGCATACTAATCAAAATTGGTGATATTTTTCCATTTTCTTATTATATATGCTTCGTAAACCTCAATATAAATACTTTCAGAATGGTTGTACAGACTTTATTAGGTATAGTAGCATGGTATATATAAGATAAAAACTGTTTTACTCACTATTTTTATAAATTAGGATAACTTGTAGGATGCCAGGATTTTTCTAGTTTTATGCAATTTGAAAGTATTCTTTATTTTATTTTAAAGCATTAAATAGAAAAGTTAATTGGATAAATCTTGTTATATAAATCAGAGACATATATTCAGGGTATGTGTTATAATATTATGTATGTTTTTCTAGGATGGCACTAAATTGGTGGTTAAATGTTTTTAGATTACTGCTTTATATTAAAAAGACCCACATTGCAATTAGATTATGCCTAATAGGAAATATTATATAAAAAGCAGAATTGCACAAATATTCTGGAATCTGGATATTCCATAGGTTTAAAAACACTTCTGAGGTGGATAAAATGTGGTTGAAAATATCTAAGAAAGTGTATTTTCTTTAAAGCCCTGACTTTAATCATAGAATTTTTTTTTTCTGTATCCTATGTGCGATACTCAGTATGTCTGATCCATAATCAGTTTAGGTATCTGAATGATCTCTGTGGATTGCCATGTGATAGATTTGATCATTTAACATTTATTATCAATATAGTTGTATGCTAAGTAAGCTGGCACCATAGCATTATACAGTTATCTTCTTTGCTCTTGAATGATATCTGTTATTATACCAGCAATGTATAAATAAAGTAAAAGGGACAGAATGAAAAACCCACTCTAATCTCACCACACAGAGATAAGTACTTTCTGTGTGTCCTTCTATAAATGCTTTACTTATGTTCCCTTTATTTTTAAACTCTATTAATGCTACTAAAAGTCAAAGAATACCTAAAAGTAACAAGAAATCATGTAATAACAATGTTAAGATACATACACGTCTGCATGTTTATACTCCTGCAAAAAGAAAAAATTGGAAAAAATCGAATGTCCCTAATCTTTTATCAAATACAAATGAGATAAAGCCCCAGTTTTCCACTAAAGTAAATCCTTATGATAGGTAATTCATTATGGGAGGTAAAATGTTTTAAGCATGCTCTTCTTGGTACACAAAGCAGATATCAGCTGTTGTCATTTTCTCATTTTTCCTAAGAAATATCCTTAAATTACTGATATTTTTAGAGAAAAATAACAGGATTGATTTGATGTAGATAATACATCTGTTACTACCAAAGGAAAATTAAAACATAATCTTAGTGTAATTTTCTGTTACCTCATATATATTTTAAGTTATACTTACTAACAGACTTAACAAATTAAAGTTTTACTTTAATTTGAAGTATTTGAAAATGTTAAACAAGGTATTTCTTTATCATGTGTTGAATTCTGTTGGATGACCTAAAGTAATTAAAGGATCGATTATTAAGAAAAGTTTGAATATCTAATATAAACCTCAAATTCACCATACAGCTTTTTTCCAAATGTATTGATAAATTGGGTATTTTGTTTCTTAAACTGTCTAGTTTTTATAAAATTTAAACAGTCATTAAACCAATACAACCCAAAAGTAAAGCCATTTTCTGGTTTATAGTTTTAATTAATTCTCCCTAGAGTGGTAATTAAGGCTGATAGAACACTCACACACTTGTTGAGGTGCTGGTAGCAGGTGGGGAGGCAGCGTGCTTGAGTCAACTACAATTATAAACAGTATTCCAAATCCTCATTTTACTTATTTTAGATGTAGACAGGGCCTTAGTGATAAGATGGTATAAATAATAATTTAGGACATTTGTGTTTTAAAGTGAAGCATAAATATTCATATTGCAAAATGTTTTCTGGTTGGAAGGATGTTGCATTACTATGATTTTTAGATTAATTTGTATAGTCAAAGCACATCAGAGAAATCTGTAGGTTATTTATTTTCTGCCGTGTTATTTTGTCAAATGGTTGGTATTATAATTGTTCTTCTCCTGTTCATTTTATAGCCAGTGCATAATTCTTACTGACATTGAATTTTAAAAAGGAATTATGCTATAAACCTTTATAAATGTTATATGTATTTCTTAAATATTTCAATTGTCTAAACGCTGTATATTTTAAGCTTGTTTTCTCTTGCTCTCAATATTGAGGAAAACCATAATCGACCTGTAATGCATCTATACTGTTAATAGTTTTGGTTAGTTTTATATTCATTGTTTCTAAGCAGACTTTAAACTATTTTTAGTGTGGGAACATTATCTAAAAGCCTTATATACAATTCTCTGCCTTTCTTGTACTTAGTCATTTTATTGTTTTAGTATTTAAGACAAAGATTCTTCAAAATATATCATCAAAACTAGCTTATGATATTATACTTTGTAATATTTTCTCTAATTCGAGGAAGCGATCTTTTGTTTGGGTTAAGTAAAAAGGCTTTATTTGATTACCAGCATGAGAATTCACTTTGGTTTCTATTTTATGCATTTGTACGTTATTGGTACTTTTGTACTCAATACTAAATGCTAAGTAAAGGGGAGTATAACCAGGTATGTTTTCTTAGTGACTTTGCCTTTAGCATTCAGACATAAGAAAATCATCAGAATAAGATTCTATTTATAAACAAATAATTCTTTTATATGGTAATTATCATGTATTTTATTGTTGCTTTTACAATAAGCTATTAAACTAGTTTTTATGCTTCAAGTAATGCAATAGAAAGCATAAAAACACATTTAATTATGAATTACTTGAATATGTATTACCTGTAGTTTAGGAAAATTTGAATTGCCTTGAAGAGAACCAATTTTCAAGTTGTGATTTTCACTGTTACCTTTTCCAATTCCTAAACATATTTCAATACCTACTGTATTATCAGGTATTAGGCTAGGTGATAGTTTATATGTCAGCCTATTTTTCCCTTTTTTCAAGACTGCCAGACATAACAAAAAAGCATGACCTTTATAATGTTGTTTTCTAAATAAATATGTTTATGCCACAAATTGTGAAGTGCTTATATAAACAAAATAACTTGTTGGGATTTAACAAGATTAAGATTCTCACAAAACTGAGTAATATACAAGATCCTTTACTCTCCACATTTGAGAGATCCTGTAAGCAGTTTTTGACTGACACCCATGAACCTTTAGAAATGAGTTGTGTTAAAACTATCTATGAATATAAAATAGCTTGCCAAAATAAATAATTTAAGCCAAAATCTGGGTAGAGTCAGATAAATAGCAATAGTAAATTATGTTAATTAGTACCCTGAAGTCACAGATTATTTTCTATCTGATTCTAATAATACAAAACAAATACCTTACTGAGTCTCAGCCTTTCAAGGACTATTTCTCTACTGTTACTGTTCTTCTATGGGATATATTTTTCTATAAATTTATTGTGCACACCTTGGTCAGGACAGTTTTTAATCATTTCATTTGTATATACTGTTCATGAATGTCAAAATTCTCTTAGTCTTTTATATTAATATGCCTCATAGTATTGCATTTAATTTGCATTTGAAAGTGGAAATACCCAAATGAACCAAGATCGGGCTCTAAGGTATTCTGTATTCCATGGAGACTATAGAATGAAGTAAAACTCTCCCATAGGGCAGAAAGTGTCATTTCTTTTTAGTTGGAACACACCTAGATTATTGGAAATTCCTTCAAAATATTAGTCATAGCACTAAAGAAAACACCAATAAATATCGCAGTTAATTTATTTTCTTCTTTTTTTCTTTTTTTTAGGAGACAGGGCCTTGCTCTGTTGCCTGGCCTGATTATAGCTCACAGTATCCTGGGCTCAACCAATCCTCCCACCTCAGCCTCAAAGTAGGTGGGACAGGCATGCCACCACACTAGGCTATTTTTTTTTTTTTTTTTGGTGCAACTGGCTGTGTTGCACAATCTGGTCTCTAGCTCCTGCCCTCAAGTGATCCTCCTGCCTCAATCACCCAAAGTTTGGGGATTACATGGACGAGCCACTGCACTGGCCCCAGTTAATTAACTTCTTTTTTTTTTTGAGACAGCCTGGTTCTGTTGCTCTGGGTAGAGTGCAATGGCATCATCACAGCTCACTGTAACCTCAAGCTCCTGGGCTCAAGCGATCCTCCTCACTCAGCCTCCCCAGTAACTGGGGAGTACAGGCGTGTGCTACCACACATGGCTAATTTTTTCTAATTTTATTAGAGATGGGGTCTGGCTCTGGCTCAGGCTGGTCTCCAACTCCTGACCTCAAGTGGTCCTTCCTCCTCGGCCTCCCAGAGTGCTCGGACTACAGGCTGGTGAACCACCAGCCGGCATGCCCCCCAGTTAATTTTTTAATGATTATGTCAAGTAGCTATAAAAATGAGAGATGATGTAGTTCTTAAAGGTAAAAAATGTAGGCTCAATGCTAGGGCATTTCCTAATAGCTAAAATAATTTCCTAATAGTTAAAAATACGATAACCTGTTTTAAATTTCACAAAAATAACAGCTTTTATTTAAGAAGTATAGAAGCTAGTATTATAGAATACAATCTTGTTTTTTATGTAATTGTTAGGATAACTTAATTCATTTCATTTATATAATTTTGAAAGTTTTTAAGGCAGAGTCTGGTTTCATTTCAGAATTTGGTGCAACTTCAGAATTAACATTCAACAGCTCTCCGGGTGCGGTGGCTCACGCCTGTAATCCTAGCACTCTGGGAGGCCGAGGCCGGCGGATTGTTTGAGCTCAGGAGTTCGAAAACCAGCCTGAGCAAGAGTGAGACTCCGTCTCTACTAAAAATAGAAAGAAATTAATCGGACAACTATAAATATATAGAAAAAAT